TCTCTCTCTCTCTCTCTCTCTCTCTCTCTCTCTCTCTCTCTCTCTCTGCCTAATGGCTATGGATCAATATATAAGTTCTTAGCTGTTCTTTTGCTTGGCCATCATGGTTTCTAATCCTCTGAAACTATAAAAGTTACCTTCACCACAGTGCTTTATCACAGCAATAGAAGAGTAATTTATACAAGATCTCTCATTAGCCTGGAACATCTCAAGTAGGCTAGGCTGTCTTGTCAGTAAGCCTCAGGGATCCTTCTGCCTCTCCCGCCTGGCACTGAGATTATAGGCACAGGCTACCATGCCCTACTATTTCCTGTGAGTTTGGGGGATTAAACTTGGGCTCTTGTAGGTGAGCACTTTACCTGCCTAGAGATTGGAATCCACTAGAGATGCTCATCTGGCTCCAATCTAGGTTCTTCCCTAGTTTAGCAGATTACAAGGAACATGTTAAAATCCCTGCTACTGAATTCCACCAGGTTAGTGCCAGGCATGGCTAGGCTTCCTGTCACTTACATCCTTCCTCTAATATATCTCCTTGAAGGCTGAGAAATTGCAGACAAACTAATCCACCTATTGTCTACACCCTTGTTTGTGCCTATAATGATACCCAATGAAAAGAAATGTATGTACTCACAGCTTTGGAGGCAGACATCCAGGATCAAAGAACCAGAGTCTGCCTAGGACCTGCTTGATTCAGCATCTTCTGACAGAGGGACGGATGCTCTCCTGCGGTTCTCTTAAGTTGTATGTGATGGACACACTGTACGTGTTGATAGGTTGGTCAGGAGAGGGCCTGCAGCTTGTCTCTGGATGATGTCCTCCACACTGTGCCCTCCTGCGGAGAGAAGGGACAGAAGCCTTGGTACCTCCTCTATAAAGTCACTGATCTCATCCCTGCTCCCACTCAGGACCTCATCTGAGCCTGAGCGCCTCCCACAGGTTCACCTCTAGTACATCTGTACTTAGACATCTTAGGGCCTCTGACACCGACCGAGACTCCAGTATTCTGTCCAGCATGGGCTTGGACATCCAGCCTATGCAGGAATGAGACGCCAAGTATGGGAAACACTAGGATATAGACTACTGACCTGGCTCAGAACAGGTGTCTTCCAACCTCTCTGAGATGGGAGCATTTCCAGTGAATTTACGAAAATCCTCCTAAGCTGATGCTTTTGAGAAAAGGACACAGCTTTGTAGCGAAAGCACGACACTGTCATGTCACGGCTACAGCTTAAAAGAGTGTAGCTCAGAAGATGGGGCTTCCGCCTCTCAGAGACAGGACAAGGCAGAGCTGGTTTAGAACTCTGGCATGCTTCACAGCCCATTATCTTAGAATGTAAAATACAATGTACTTAGAATTAATTATACAATATGACGAGTTGAAGGCATACAATGAAATTAATACACACGGAACAGAAAAAGAGTTGTCCAAGGCAATAATTGGCGAAGATGCCTTCGGATCTTCTTCGGATTGTGTTTTTCTTTTCTTTTTTTTTTTTTTTCGGATTGTGTTTTTCATATATGAGGGATAAAGGATTCCATGGATGATAGGTATTCAGGTAGAGGTGGGTGAGACTGAACGGTGATGGTGTGACGATAAGACTGACAGGTGACACAGAGAGATGACAGACAGATGGCTCAATATTTGTGGACACCAAATACTATACTATACATACTATAATATTGAATATCTATGTTCACATGTTTTCCTCATAGCTGTGTGAAAGAGGCGTATTTTCAAATCATGCTAAGTTTCAGAGGGACTGTACCACAGACCCTCTCGGCCATTGGGGTGCCTGCTCCGCCCTGCCATTTAGCTCCTACTTGTTCTACTCATTCTTCACCCATTGGCCCAAACACAACAATCCAGCTAATTTTTACAAAACATAGAATCAGAGTGATTTTAATTATCTTATCACACAGAACCACATGAACCATGTTCTACATCAGTCCTGTATTCACAGGACCAAACAATTGACCCGTGAGTGCTGGAATGTAGCCAGGTTATTCCTAATTCCTATTTACTAGTGATTCTGGGTAGGAAGGCTGGCTACAACTACACACTAGAGTTTTTCACAGAAGTAGAGAGAAGACAACCAGCGTCCTATGTGCACACCCACACAGCAAGGACTGACAACACAGGTGTCTAGGACTCAAAACTGCTCTTAAACTCATAAACTCCCAGTGCCTGGACATAGTGAACACGCTCAGTGTGGGAAGGAATCCAGTCTTAATTTCCTTGGTACAGCCCTTCAGTCCAGTTGCATTCTAAGTTTAGACCCAATCCTCTTACCTGCATACTATGGACAAACAGGACCTCATCTCCTGAAGGACAGCATCCCCATGGCAGGGCTGCTGCAGTCTCCATGCTGGGATGCTGGAAACAGAAAAGCCTTCTGAGAAGGATTACAGCATTGCTCTGGGTTTCCTCTGAGGCAAAGATCTGTCCTCACCGGAGAGCTTTGCCTTGGATGTTTTCTTCTCCTTCAAAGAACCAAAATATTTCTGGGAGTCACTCTCCACTGTGTGTTCTCTCAGTGGCTGCACACACAAAGGAATTTTGTTCTCTGAAAGCTCATAGATTCAATGTGCTTGGAGGGTGCCTGTGACTTCTTAGCCACCGTGAGCAGCTCTGTCGCTACAGGCCCAGGGTTGGGCAGCATCTGTGCATGTGGACCCCTGAACTGGGCCTGGGTTTGGAGTGGATAGAGCACTTTGACGGTCTCTCTCCATCTGGATCTGTTGCAGGTGCTGTTTCTTAAAGCACAAGTCACAAAAGCTGAGAAGCTGGAGGAAGAGAGAGCTTTGTGAAGTATGGGCACTCGCTCTAGGATCTCAACTGTACAGTGGGAATACCAGGGGCAGGTGAAATCAATGGTGGCTCTAGTTGAGCTGGGTGGGTGTATTAGTCAGGGTTCCCTAGAGTCACAGAACTTAGAAAATGAATCTCTCTATATGGATAGGCTTCTCAGAATGACTTACAGGCTGTGGTCCACCTAATCCAACTGGCTGTGAAGAGAAAGACCAAGAACCCAGGAGTCATTCAGTCCACAGGCCTGGATGTCTCAGCCGAGCTTTGGTATGCGCTGGAATCCCAGAGAAGCAGGCTCCAATGCCAACAAAGGAATAAATCTGATGGCAAGCTGAGGTCATGCAGGCAAACACCAAAAGTTTTTTTCTTCCATGTCCTTACATAGGTGTCCAGCATAAGGCATGGCCCAGATTCGAGGTAGTTCTTCTCGGCTCAAAAGGTCCAGACTAAAGGTGTGTACCTTCTGGGTTCAAAGATCAGGATTAGAGGTGGATCTCATAACTTCAAAGGAGGCAAAAACCCTTCACTGGTGTGCCCTCCATTTGGGGGCTATAGTTCCAAGTGTCGTCAATTTGACAATCGAGAATAATCATCACAGTGGGTATATCAAGGTAAGTTTAGTTAGATATCCTATGCCTGTGCCATGTGGCTTGGGCTCTGGTTCCTGGGACAATGCCCTAGTTATCACAGTGAATGTCCTTGTCACCTCCGGGCTGGGACAGGTGGTGAATAGTACTGCATGTCCATCTAGGCGCACTGGCAGCAGGGAGAGAGACTCCAGAGATGAATGGACTCACTGATTTCAAAGGAGGGCCTGAGCTGGCTTTCTGCCGCCACTGTTGTCCAGAGCTGTGGCTGTTAGAACAGGCGGCTTTATTCCAGTTTCTATTAGCATGGCAGCCTTGTAGTCCTGTAAAACCAAGTCCATGAACGCAGAGAACAATCAGATGTCTCATCTCTCAGAGGACCATGGCTTCAGGAAGCCTGTGGTCTCACTGTGACAGGGGCAGCCCAGGACTGGGCTCTCAGTCCAAAAGTGCTTTGTCAAATCACACAGCCATGAGAACAGAGAGGCCAAGGTACTTGGTTCAAGTTCGGCAGCTGTTAGAAGGCCTACCTTGTACAGAGAACACCACCCAGGAAGAACACTGCAGAGTTAGGAGGCATTTACTAACTCATCGGCAACTTCTGGGCTTCACAGGCAGAAAAAAAAATCACGTTAAAGATTGAGCTATGCTGTGCCCTCCCTTTGGAGGTGCTTGCAGATGCTGGCAGAGCCGCTGTGCTCCATCCTCAGCCATCAGATGGCCCTGGAGGGCAGGCACATCATGAAGGACCACTTTAAGAGCTATAAACTCAAATAATAACAAATGTTTGTTTGTCTTAGGAGTCTTAATTTGCAGTTACATACAGCTCAAAGGGTGTGTGTGTAGGGGGCGGGATTTGCACACAGAGTTACAGAGACATTCAGCAAAGAAATTGCCAAAGAAGGGGACCATGATATTAAGGGTGTGACATACGTGGCGAATAAGAAGAATGTCATAGCTAGAAGAACTCACCTTTACCTGGACATGTGTCCATACATGTGTCTGGGAGTGAACGCCTTTCCTCTGAATTCTTGCTTCTTTAGTTATCATATCAGGACAGCAAAGCCTGCCTCGCTTTGACCACTGAGTGTCATCAGCACTCTATACAAACCACTCAAGTCTCCAACTCCCAGTCAGGGCAGCCATGGACAATCAACGGCCCAGAGAGCCTTGGCGTGGCTGGATGGTGGTTCTCCCCGTGGCGACATGCTGTCAGCGAGGATGGCTATCTGCTGAGCTGTCTTCGAGAGTGAGTTGTTAGTGGCACCCATGGGCATCCGACATGCCACTTCTCAGGGTTGTAAAAGCTCACCGAAAGACACCACAACCGAGGAGGCAAAACCAGAACTGTTCCTTCAGCCCCATCACACTCACCTGTCTTAGAGCCGGTGTGGCCAGCACTTCCCCACGCAAGCATTGCCTCAGCCTCCTGTGCTAATTACCATTGGAGACCCTGATGGGAGGCCTGGCTTGCAGAAAGATTGATTGTCATTGTAAATATTATAAAGGATTACTGAGAAAACACTTCTGTTCAGTCCCCCCACCCCCGGCAGAGACTTCCCTGGACACAGTAAGGTTAAAATAAATTCACGCAAAAATAGAAATCTAAAATTAAATATTTAATTAGAACTCTGATTTGCTTTAAAGATAGGTGGCATTACACAGGTTATGTTACACTCTCTTTATAATTTTTCTTTTGACAAAAAAGATACTGTTCATTTTAACAGGCCGCTTTAATATTAATACATGTCGAACAGGATTGGAACTGAAAATCGGCTAGAGAGGGTGATTTTACATTGTCGGGAAAATTACAGTTTTGCATTGTAAAAACATTTATTTTTTAACAATTTACCTACATGAATCAAAAAATTACAGCATATTTAATAATTTTACAAATTCTTCATAAAAAATATATCTCTGTACAAAAAGGTCTTCCGCACCTACGTTGTGACAGCAGCGTGTGGAGGGGACAGGAGGGCAGGGTAGCGACGATGGATGGATGGTTTTCCTGATCATAATGCCAGCTTTATTTCCCCCCTTTTTTATAATAGCTTTTGTTGTTCTTCTTGTTGTTGTTGTTTACAAAATATTTTACAGAAGAAAAAAATTATTGCAGCTAGCCTGAAGGCAAGATGGGCAAAGACAAGCAACAGTTGAACAGCTTCGAAGCATATAACCTGTCCCACATAGTGCGTCCCCTCACTGTGCTCTGGGCGCCTCAGGAAAAGGCTCTAAGACCTCACTGAGGAAGGTATTCTTGACTGCCCTGCTGGGTCTTCAATGCCTCTGAGACTGGTGAAACACCACACACACACACACACACACACACACACACACACACACACTCTAGGAAGGACTGGGCTAGGCTCTCACCTGAGAGTGCCCCTCGGTGTTGGTGTGTTGGTCTGAAATACCTTGATGCAGTCTGGTAGCTGGAAGTCAGTTTGCACACAAAGGAAAGCGACACAGGTCTGATCACGTGGCTCCTTGCACGTATGGATGCCCTGTCTGAGTTGTCTTCTTCGTGTAACTGGCCGGCGAAGAGGCCAAGGGTGTGGGGACAGAGACGTTAGTTTAGACTCCAAAATCAGCATTTTGCACCTAGTCAGAGTGACTCAAACTTAGATATATACAATATATATTTATATATATATATACGTGTGTGTGTATTTCTATATACATCTAATATATATATATATATATAGTGACCCTGTTCTCCCTTGCGCACTACATACAGTCCTTGGACCTGCTGACATTTTCTGTTTTGTTTTGGCTCAATGTGTGTTTAGGAGCACATTCTTGATGACATCATCTGAATTTCCCAGAGATCTAATGAATCACTGTGTACCTAGAAGAACCCCAAGGATGTCAGTTGGGCCAGAGGAACCTGTGCCAGTACCCCTTCCTAGGACATGGACTCCTCCAACATGGAACCCAGTGGACTGAGTATTACCAGAAGAGGTCAGGAGTCTGACCTACAACAGACAGCCCTTGGAAGAAGAGCAGGCAGGAGGTAACCCAGTGGGGCCTCTGGAATACTCAGAATCCAGAACCTTGAAAGCAGCGATATATATGATATATATGATATCCTAGTGAGCTCCTTTGCCCACAGGTCCTCTGGGAAGTCCTGCATTTACTCGTCACGCAGATAGACAGATACATCCGTCTTAAAGCTAGGCATGAATGTAGTCACCACTGACACCACTGTAGTCACCATGTAGTCACGCATGGCATCTGGACCCACCTGCCAGTGCAAATCTGGGATGTGCAAAGGGGAAGTTTTTACCGTGTTGGCTGTGCATGAAACATCAAATAATAAAATAAGCATCATCTTTCCAAAAATACTTTTATCAAACAAATATAAATAAAAATAAACATGATCTTCTCTTTGAATTTCTTACAGACATTTCTCTGGCCCTGTCTTCTCTCCAGGCTGTTTATTTTATCCTGTGGGCCGTGCCACCTGGCTTATTTATACCATAATGGATAGTCTTTTGTTGGCCATGCCACCGGGCTTACTTATGCCATAATGGATAGTCTACCAATAAGGAACTTTAGGTTTGGAAATCATTGCAATAATTTTTTTTTTCAAGAAGGCAAGTAATCTATACAACAGTCACCACAAGGGTGTGCGAGCCACGCCTGCCCTTCCGATCCTGATTGCAACTTGGATTCCCTTCTGATTTCCTCTGAGCTTGGGTGTGGCTGTGAGATAGACTTTCAGGGCAGCTGCGCAGGTGATGTTACAGAACAGAGACAGCAAGCAACCCGGAAGGAAAGACTGCACTGTGAACTGAGACCCGGGGGTTCACAAGCTACCTAAAATAAATTACTAGTCACATCGATACATGGAAAACAGACATTGTTGGAGACCTCTGTTGCCAATCAGTGTGGCACAAACAAGAGTTGTGTGCACGTGAAGGAGAGAAAACAAAGGAAAGGAAAGGCTTCGTTTCAACCACCGGTGGTTGGCAATGAATTTGACACATAAACGTGGCTAACAGAAATGATAATAAAATAACTTCTTCACAGTACAGTCTCCTTTTCAAACTGCCCTGTCTGGGGCTATTTCCCCTTCAACCCAGCTTAACTGATGGTGGCATCTTCTGCTTGACAATACAACATGAGAAAATGCTTATGTACAATGTAGAGCGTATATAAACCCTGTGTAAATAGTCTATTTAAAAACCAGACTCAGTCATTCTTAACACCCTAGTGCAAAATGTTGAGATTCAAAATTTCTGGGATGGAACGGCTTGACTCGTGAAATCTGCAAACATCCCTAGTGATTGATGGATGTCCAGGGAAGCCTGAAGATCCTCCGAGCTTGTCGTGTCTCAGGCAGGGCAGAGGGAAGCAAGCGTGTGCGGGTGCACTTCCCAGAAGGCGTTTTCTCCAGGAAGGTGTTTCTTTTGTAGAGAACTCTTGTCCAGTGAGGAGGGATAAAAGGAAAAGAAAAACACAAAACACGTATCGAGTCGCTACCATTTTGTCGCCGCACCTGAAGGATGTATCCGTGTGCTTAGAAGACTCCATCCAAAGGCATCCTGGCCACACAGAGACACAGAAGTCAGAGGCATGAAGGACCACCTGTCTCTACGACTCCGTAGTCTTCTTTGCCCTCGCCGGTGTTGGCTTCTTGATTTCCGGCGGATGCAGCAAGGCTTTGATAATCCGCTTTCCCGATGACAATGTGTTTGCAAGTTTAGCCTCAGAAGACTCGGTCATGACTGAGAAGAGATTCCCACTGTGTTATGCCAGCAGATGATGGCCAAGGTTGCTGCAGCAAGGCAAGAGTAGAAGGGAGGGTGGTATATGGCACCAAAGGATTTTACTGCTTGTCCATCAGAGGTATGGCTATGAATCGGTCCTAGGGGGCACTGAGGGCTATACCACTGTACACACTGTGTTCAGAGTCGTGTCAAACCTCACAGCCTTGGCCTCTGTGGGTTTTAAGTTTGTATCATACATGGGGTTTTCAAATGAAGCTTGTCCATTACTGTTCTCATGGCCGGCGTAGCCATTATATTGAACTTTTGGTCTTGTTCTACAGAGAAAAGAGAGCACACAGTCAGATCAGACCCTTCCCTGCAACGACACAGGCCCGTTTCCCAGCCTCCTCTCAGCCTTTGCGCTTCCTCGTCAGGAAGTTTTTCTGTCAGGTTCTGAGGCGGCGGGCAGACCAGCTACTTCAACACTGTTGGTTCTTTAAAAATTGGTGGTTGACGTTCTGTGGGCTTGGGCAGTTCTGTGGGCCCAAGGGCAGTAGGACCAGGATTTATCCCTAGTGCAGGAGCTGGTATCTTACTCAGCCTTGATGAAGGGAAGAGCACGGGGTAGGGGGGCTTTGTTCTGCCTCAGCTTAATGTACCAGATTTTGTTGACTCTCCAGGGGAGGCCTTACCCTCTCTGAGAAGTGGATGCATGGGGGGTGGGGGAGGGACACGCTTGGGTGCACGGAAGGTGGGGGAGGGAGCCGGAGCAGGGAAGGGAAGGAGAACAAAAAACAAAAAGCTTTTAAATATAAAAGTTAAAGAAATGATCCCAGGTGGCAGTGGTCCACGCCTTTAATCCTCAGGAGGCAGAATCAGGCGGATCTCTGTGAGTTTGAGGCCAGTCTGCTCTACAAGAGCTGGTTCTAGGACAGGCTTCAAAGCCACAGAGAAACCCTGTCTTGAAAAACCAAAAATAAGTAAGTAAGTAAATTAAATAAATAAAGTGATGGTTGGGGTTATGAATAGGACATAAAATTAGTAATAATTTTCAAAACTAAAAGAAAAAAACCCTCTTTATGTGCTGGATAGAGGTTTGGAGAACCTTCCAAGGTAACAGCGGAAAGCCTTCTCAGCCCAGTAAAGCTCTGCTTCATTGTGAGATTAATGCTCACTTTAGTGGGGAGGGGCGGTCACCCAAAACCATTTCAATTTCAAAGCAGTTCATCTCCAGCCTTAGCAGCATTCACTGAATGTTGCTCACTTTTACAATAGAAGTTGTGTTTCTCTTGTGGGTCAAGTGTAAACCAGCTTGGGGCTGGAGCATAGCTTGGCACTTAAGAGCACTAGCTTTTGATGATCCAGTCATGGCAGCTCACAGTTGCCCTCTCCTGGTCTCCGTGAGTACTGCACACACACAGTGCACAATGCATGCAAACAGACAGAAAAACCACTCATATACAAAACAAAAGAAATAATTATCTTTGGAAGAGCCTGTTTGTTGAAATGAGACTCATGATTAAAATGTTTCTATATGTGTGGCTAAAGAAAACCCTTTCTTCACAAGCCATGTTTAAAAAGAGGGGTTTTAGAGTATAAAAAAAAAATAATTAAAAAAACGAATTAAATGTGGCACTGGGCAGACGACCTTGTCAGTAAGGTTGTCTGCTCAGAGCATGGGGGTGGGGGTGGGGCTGAGTTCAAATCCTCACAGAAAAAGCCAGATGTCATGGCACACATCTGTAATCCCTGCACCGGGGAACACAGAGACAGGTGGGTCCCTGGAGCTCTCAGGCTTGCAGTCATCCTAGCCAAACTAGTGAGCTGGTTCAGGGAGTGACTGTGTCTCCAAAAGAGAGATGGAGAGCTGTAGAAGAAAAGACCCAGTATGGACCCCTGGCCTACACACGTAGATGCATGTATGCATGTGTACTTGCAATGCATACCTACACACACCCACTGAAAATGTACATATAATACTCATATATCCCAGAACACACCGTGCAAGAAAGAAAAGGGAAAAATAAAAATCTAAACACATCTGGTCATCTTCCCCCTCCCTTTATCTTGGAAGAAACCAGATAAAAACATATGTCATGTGGGAAAAAATGTCACGTTCATGCAAACAAACACATGGGTATCACAACCACCTGAGGGTGGAGAGAAAAGAAATTCATCTAAGGATGTACTCATTGATTAGCTCAGGTTTTCATCTGTTCATTAATAGAATGATAAATAGAACGTGTGTGGTCTTCAGAAACCTGGTCTCGGTCAGCAGAATGTCTCTCTGTGGTTGCCCCAGGAGTTAGCAACACTAGCGACATTGAACTTGGAAAATGCTTGAGGAACGCTAGTCAGCAAACCCTTCTCATTCAGTGCTAATGAACAAAAGACCTGCCTGAAGTTTGTGATTCATCACTTGAGCCAGAGTGACCCTGTTCTCTCACTGTTAAAGGATTTACAGGGACAGGAGAAGAGATACCAGAACCCAGACCCAGTTCATTGAGAGGTGGCATCAGAACCATGAGCTCTGACTGAGAACCTCTTCCCAATACAGAAGGATGAGGGACAGGAACTCCAGCCTGCTGGGACTTTGGAGCACCTGAAAAGCAACGCCCAGCCATATCATTAAGGAATATCTCTATCTGCTGAAGCTGAGAGACAGGCACTATATGAGCATGGACTCAGGAGAGGCTCACCCAATGAAGGCCTGGGACACTGGCTTTCCACATACTTTCTTTAATTTTTTTTTTTGCATCTTGCTAATATGGCCGGGAAATAGATAACAGATCCCGTGGATTTGTTCATCACAGTGTCCTCTCTGTATCCCCAATGAGCCCGAGAGGAAAACCTGCTGACTTTCATATTCAGCACGCAGCCCTTTCGTTTTATATGGATGGAGGTGGAGGGATCTGTCATTGTGACACCCAAGGCCCCACTCACTGGAGAAGGTGGCAGCTCACTTCCCTGTTAGCAGGTGTCAGTGTGGGAGCCACTACCCTCATCCCTTCATGGAAGTACCTAACCACTGAGACTTGGTAGGAGGCTCTTGGATTTAAAGGAAATGATGTAGCGTTCTAAATCCACCTCATGCTTCCCCATCTAGGACTTCAGATATAATCAGGACTCATTAAGTCACAGACGAATACAGGTGATTGTTCAGTATTGTTGTTGGCAGGGACAATTGTTCCTGACCGGCAGAGCTGTTAGCCTCTCAGAGATAGGTTGAAGTCTAGGTCTCGGACACACAGGGACTTGTCCACCTGGTCTCAGGGCTGAAGAAGACCAGAGCCTGACCTTTGTAACAGCACAGACCCGTCCTTGTGGTGAGGACACTAGGTGGGTGAAAAAGAATTGACAGGGATTATGAATTCCTGTTGTTTCTTTCAGCTCCAAAAGAAGAGCATTTTAATTTCATCCTTTTAAAAATAAAACTGCTCCCTGCCATGGTACTGTGGGACATGGGGTGGCTGTGCCATCAGCAGAGAGATGAATTAGTGTACTGTTTTCTGCAAAATAAATGATAACAATGTGGTTTGTATGTCTGTGGGGAACCAAGGAAGCCTTGCGTAAATGTGTATCTTTTCACATGGGCACAGCCGTTATACAAGACCCAGTGACTCAGGCGCACGGAAGTGGCAATGCCTTCCCCATGGGAGTGAAGCTTAGAGCGAAGGCAAAGTGTGTGCAAAAATTAGCAGCTTCCTCCTTCAAAAACTGCACCCTGCCACAGACCTCCTACCAAGAAGAGCTAGCCTCTCTCCATTGTGCTGGGTGGGATAAATGTGCTGAGCTTCTGACTGACTGCATGTTGGTGCTGCTCCAGGTAAGCAAGTGTGACCCACCTTCCCGGTGCATGGATCTCCACGTCTGATCTTTCCTCATTCCTTTATCACCTTAGTCAGGGTCCCAGGACCAAGCTGCGCAGAAAGCGGCTAACCTCTGGGGTTTCTTTCCCATGGTTGTGTTTTTAAAATAAGAATACTGACAGCCACAGGCAATGAGGACAGAGCTACAAACTACTGAGTCTTAGAATTTTGTGTCACTTAAGAATAAGGCAGTTGCACATTTAAAGACATTCAGTACATAACTTATTTAAAGATCCCCTCACTTCAATTTTGTTTGTATAACAAAGATTAAGTGGAAACTTGTGCATTATATTAAAAAATGTGACAAACTTAAGAAGTCACCTTGTTTCTGGGGCTCATAATGGTGCTATTTTTATAAAATGCTACTACTAAAAAGCCAGTAGAGTTGTAGAGTGATTTGGCACACAACTTTTTCCAGAATTATATTATCCACACAGAGAAAATGCACACAAGGACTTTGAATTTTTCACAACCGGTGTTTGCTTGCTTATTTTGTCAGGGTCTCATGAAGCCCAGGCTAGCCTCAAACTCTCTATGTAATTGAAGGGAACGCTGAACTGCTGGTCTACCTGCCTTGACCTCCAGGATGCTGGGATTACAGGCATGCAGTAGGAATAGGACCCTGAGTTTTGTACATCCCACACGAGTGCTCTGTCAGAAGAGTGCATCCCTAGACTGCCTAGAATGTTTCCTTTTCCTTTAAACTCCATGCATACATAGTAACTCCAAAGAAAAGAATCAATTCATTCAAATTTCTTCAAAACCCATAAATTCTGACATTTCCCATTAATAACGATTTTCAAGTTAATAGATGTCAATGTATCTTTTCAAGGGATGGAGCACAGGTAGCTAGCTATTCAGACATACTAAGAACTTTCGAATTTGCTGAAGCAAGAAAGCCATCAAAAATATATAAATCTTTGATTCATACAGTTGAAAGGGCCACAGAAACCATTTCTTTGCCTCTCCTGCTGGAAGGCTGCAACTCTCCCAAGGCTCTGAAATCCTTAGGACCGATGACCAGCAAGCATATGCTTATTTTCAGACCAGTCATTCACTCTTTTAAAGCTAGCTACTTAGACATGCCCTGCTGACAAAACAGATAAAAATCAAACAATGAAAAAAATGGATCAAAACAAAAATCATCCGCAGACACTCTGGAGTCTACACATTCATATCTACAGAAGCATGTCTGCATTCCGCGTCAACTTTTCGGCAACGTACAATACTATGTGCATGAGAATTCAAGCACACCGCTGTTCAAGCCGACACACCACACCAAGAACCCTTGCAGGGAACTCCCGCCTCTGCCGTACCTGTGTTTGTAGAGGTAAAATGCAAACCCTGATAAAATTAGAGCAAAGAAGGGAACGAGAATTGCAGCTGCCACGGAGCCGCTGCTGGTGCCCTGGTAATGATTTGAAGAATCTGCATCCGAGTTGGAAGGATCTAGAAGACAAAAAGAGTTGGAATTTGATGGTATTGGGTACTGCTTAGGCAAAAATAGGTGTCTATGATATATTTTAAAGGTGAACACAAGAATCAGAATTTCTGTCCCACGACAAAGCCACCCAGTGTTCTTCCCTGAAGATTGCTCATCACACTTGCTCTTCGTGGACTTTCCTGTTCTGAGCTAGCTATGCAAATGGAATCCTCTAGACTTTTAATTAGCCTCATGGCTCACAGGTCACCCTGTCTTATCAAGCATTAGTACTTTACTACTTTTCTAATGTGGACTGATAATTCCTGCATCGATGTACACACCACACTTTTTCTTATTTCTTAGCTGATGGACTTTTGGAACGTTGCTTCTTGAGTGATGGATGATACAGATGATGCTAAAAGAATCTGGGACATGTGTGTGAGGACGTGTGCTCAGTTCTCTTGGCAGGTCAAGGACGGGTGCCGTTCTCTGTTTTACTCTGTGTCTAATTCCTACGAACTTCATCAGTCAAAACAGTTGAACGGCTTCACATTCTGCTGGCAAAATCTGAACTCCAATCTCTTTGCCTCTTTGACAAAACTTGTTTTGATTTTGTTTCTCAGCCGTAACGGGGCCTGCGAAGCAGTGTCCCCATGCAGTTTTGCTTTGCACTTCCCCTGTGACTGATCTTCTCTGATATTGTTCATCTCATTTGTCAGCTTGATGGGATCTATAACAACCTGACAGAGAAGCCTCTGGGTATGCCTATGGGGAATTATCCTGATCACATTAATAGAGGTGGTACGATCCACTCCCCATGGGTGGTGGTATCAGTCCATGTCTGGGATGCTGGACTGTATGAGTCAGAAAAGTGAACGGAGCATGTGTTCATTGCTCTCTGTTTCTGATTGTGTGACATGTGTGTAAACTCCCACTTGAGTGTAAACTCCCACTTTACTTCCTGCCATGATGGGCTATAACCTTGGCTGTGAGCCAGCATGAAGCCTTTCTCCCTTAACCTACTCCCGGCAGAATATTTCATCTCGGCAATGAGAGAAGATGTTAACAAAACGTCCAACATCTTTTGTGGGCTTGTTGTCTGTTTGTATAGGATCTGGGAAACTTATGCTCCCCAGCTCCTGTGTTGTTGGCTTGGTCATCGGCTTCTATGATACAGAGCCATGAGTCCTTTATGTCCTATAGATGCCCAGAAGTGCTCAAATTTATCATGTTCACATATTTTCTCTCATCCTGTGTGTACTGGGGACATCACTCATTTTTCCTATGGAAACCAATTCATACTTAGCATCGTGCGGATGTTCCCACAGTAAAATTGTCTTTCAGATTAACTTAATTTCAGTACCCATTCAAACATAATCACTTTTATTTGGTTGATCTATTGACTGAAAACAATTAGGAGGTTGTTATTTTCATCCATAAAAAATAAAAAAGGTTTTATCCAGCATTCTTAAATGAATGATGACCACTGGGGCATCACCAGAACACTGGCTTTTCTAATTAGCTGAAAAGGAGACTCACTTGGGATCCAAATTATTTTCTAAAGCAAATTGTTTCTTTCTTACAATAAGGTCACCATCCCAGGGGGATAAAGATTTCTTGTTAACACAAGCTGTTGTTTTGTTCTGTTGAAAAGAATGGGGGAAGATGAAGCAGACATGCTGGGATCAATGGCGGCTTCTGCCCTTCACCGCAGAGGTGAACCTGACACGCCTGTTGTCTCTAGAGCAGCTCATTGGTGGCTGTGACCCTTGTCGGAGGGTGGGAAACAGAAGAAAAGGAGGACAAATGGGGGCTGGATTTGGCCTAGAGCAAGGGACAAACTTTAGCCCTGGCTAGTGTTAGTCGGAAGCATTTGTTCGGTTTCATTACATGCAGATAACACAATCCTTTTAGAAAGATTGCCTCAGCCACAGCTGACATGCATTTAAGTTCTGATTAGGAGACTGAATTCAGGATGGCAGAAAGGTAATATTTTATAATGGCTTGTCCTTACTGATTAGGTTTTGTTTGGTAACCTATCGATGGACGACCTCTTTCCTTCCCTGTCTTGGGTATCTGGGTGGCAGTCCTGCCAATGCGCCATCAGTGGCAGTCATCCCAGTTCGCGGTCTCATGCTGGCTTCCTGTGTCTAAGTCTGTAGGACCAACGTCTGCACGGCAACATTCTCCCCCCCGCCACACACAAAAATCAATGTGCTGATGACAGCATACAAGCAAGTAAATCAGTTTATTCTGCCCAGGTTGAAATACAGTACTAATCTCATTTCACAAATGCTTCTGCTTCCTTGTTTGTGGGCGTGGATAATGACCTCCAGGAGAGCAGAACTCAGCACACAAAGCAAGTCCTGGTTGGAATCTCACCTAGTGAGTCATTCTAGAGTTGGCTAGGTAGGAAGGTAGGAGTGGATGGGGAAGAGTTGGGGAGAAGGGGTGAACGTTATCTATTATATGAAATTCTGAAGGAATTAATCAAAGCACTATTTATATGATGCAGCTGATACCCCAATTCTTCCCGATCACCTTTTTGGGTCACCTCTTTGCAGCTTCTTCTCAGAAGGGTCATTTAAAGGCCCAACTGATTGCTGCTTTAAACAAAGAAACAATGAACCAACAGTAGGTAAGTTTACCTTGTCTTTCCAGCTTGAATTTCCCAAAGTCTTTTCCATGTATGTCACCCTGAAAGGAGAATCCCCCTCTCTCAAGTCCTGAGGACACCTGGTATGCAGAAAGGAGGGCAAGGCATAAGAAAAAGGAGAGAAAATGTAGCTGTCACCCAAACCTAACTGTTACCACTGCGATTTAGACACCGCATGACCAGAGCATAATTTTCCCCCAACTAATTTTAGTGACATAGGGAAATGGAAAATCAGGATTGAGCTGAAGTAAAAGCAACAATGGGAAAATCAGGATTGAGCTGAAATAAAAGCAACAATGGGAAGGGTCATTGTCCTAGTTGGATCCCTACCAGCACTGGGCACGACCTTCCCTAATGAGGAACACTGTTTATCAGCGCACAACTCTCATTATATGATTTCACTGGGATGAACTCCAACAGCATCATGGGAGGCTGTGTAACTCTGTTAGATAGTGAACGGGAACATAACAAATGTCAAACTTGCAGAGAAAACTATGAAGTGGAACATGGCCACTTTGCTTTCTGGTACAGGAGGGTCTTCTGTCTATGTGTTACTTTCATTGGTTAAAAAAGAAATTGCCTTGGCCTTTTGATAGGACAGAAAATTAGGTGGGTGGAGTAGACAGAACAGGATGCTGGGAAGAAGGCAGACAGAGAGGGCCACCCACCATAAAGCTGCCAGGTCAGACATGCTGATTCTTTCCCGGTAAGTCACAGCCTTGTGGTGACATACAGATTATTAGAAATGGGTTGAATTAAGATGCGAGAGTTAGCCAATAAGAGGCTAGATATAATGGGCTAGGCAGTGTTTAAATAAATACAATTTGTGTGTGATTATTTTGGGGGGTTAAGCTAGTTGGGTGGTGGTAAGCAGCCATCCACTCCTTTTACTACAGCTTTCTATGTTTTCTGATCATGACTCTCTTGAAGCCTTCAGAGATTTTTTTTATTTTTTTTATTGAGCTCTACCTCTTTCTCTGCTCCCCTCCCTTCCTCTCTCCTCTCCCGCTTCAATCCTCCCCCAAGGTTCCCATGTCCCCAATTTACTCAGGAGATCTTGTGTTTTTTCCTACTTCCCATGTAGATTAGATCTATGTACATCTTTTTCTACTTTCTACTTCCCATGTAGATTATATCTATGTAAGTCTCTCTTAGTGTCCTCATTGTTGTCTAAGTTCTCTGGGATTGTGGTTTGTAGGCTGGTTTTCTTTGTTTTATGTTTAAAAACCACCTATGAGTGAGTACATGTGATAATTGTCTTTCTGTGTCTGGGTTACCTCACTCAAATAATGTTTTCTTGCTCCATCCATTTTCCTGCAAAATTCAAGCCACAGTTCTGACAGCAAAGCTGTGGTATTAAAGAGCATCACCTAGACTGAAGAACCGATTTGTCCTCTGCAGCAACAAATCCCTTAACTCTGGAGCAACTTATTTCTCATCTCAGAGAGTTGGTTGCTGCCAGCACCAAATGATGTGAACGGTGGCCATACTTCAGAGGTGCCTTCTGAGTTCCAGAGGGATGGGCAGTGTTTCCCTTGCCTAGAATTCCCAGTGCATCACGAACTCCTCTGCCCAGGCCTAAGTGTGGCGACTGTGTGAGACACTTCCTGAAAGCACTTACATAACCATCGAGTCCCCAGTTGTCATTTTCAAACTTGCTCACGAAAATATCTGCTGGGCCTTTGATATGAAAAGCTTTCAAAAGCAGGTGGGCTTCTTCCTTCTTGTAGACCCCTGAAAAGATGTTAGAGTCGTCAGTCCTGCCCTGCAGAAGTCAGAGTCTGTGACCTGATCATTCACTGACCCAACCAGGACCAGTTACAGTGGGGAAATCATACCACAGACAACAGAACATTTAAACATATGTTTTATCTTGAAGATTGAACCTCAGTATTTTTACCACTGTGGGACCGGAGAAATTACTTCTTTTTTTATATTATTTTATTGATTTTTATCGAGCTCTACATTTTTCTCTGCTCTCCTCCCAATCACTTTCTACCAAAGTTCTTGAATGACTCTTTCTCAAACAGATGTATCATTACACTATGCTCAACACTGCTATCCAATGAGAAAATTACTACAAACTCAAACCTGCTGATGGAAAGAGCCAGCGTCTTCATGTATCTTTTATTTGCTTCTGAAGACAGGGGTATGGAGAGAAAACAGACCACAACCTTAACTCAAAACACAGCTCATTTTAGAGATGGCTGGCCCAGTTCGTAGGAAAAGCATCATGGGGGTGAGGAGGTAAGAATAACACAAGAGGCAGGCAGAGGGACCAAGCAGCTGCACCTGTGAGCTACACCTGGCTAGGGATGACTGTGGTGCTGCCCAGAGACAGGGATGGAAATCTGCCTTACACTGACAATTAGGGCCCCACCAAGGGAAGAATACACAAACCACAGACATTAAGCAAATAGTGTTGAACCTGTCATACATCCCACAGGCAGAGAGGACACAGGGCTAGGGGCCGTGCTATGCAAAGTTGCACAGGAAACATACTAACTCACTATCACTCCCTAGAGGAGCACATCCAAACATCCCAGAGGTGAGTTCCACAAGCAGACACCCCAGAGGGAGGGACCCACCGCTGCTGCCAACTGACAGGAGCCACCTGCATCTCACTCTGAGCAGCACCTTCCCTACTGCAGGCAACGCTCTGATCTTTTTTTCTTTTCATGAATTTAACCTCCAAATTTTTGAATTTGGACCCAAGTTCTACACGATGAAAGGAGAGATAACAAATATATCTTCATTTTTCAGATTACAAAAAAAAGCACAAAGAATGAAAAATGTTACATATCCAGCAAGCCGCTCTGCAGATATCACTTCCTTCCATCCTCTGGCCGGTCCCATACTGTGGGGCACCATACTGTGGGAAGCCTGAATGCTCCTGCACCTCCCAGGTCCAAACCACTGAATTCCCAATTGTCTGTGGAGTCAGAGGGCTTAAATACCATTGGATCTTATTCTCTCTCTCTATCTCCCTCTCTCTCTCTCCCCCATCTCCCTCTCTCTCTATCTCCCTTTCTCTCTCTCTCTCTCTCTTTCTCTCTCTCTCTCCCCCCCGTGTTTGTGTGTGTGTGTGTGTGTGTGTGTGTGTGTGTGTGTGTACAAATGAGCTCACCCATCCACGCATAAAGACAAGCTAGAGGTTGATGTTGAATATCTGTTGAATACCTTCCTCTATTGTTCTCCAATTTAGTTCTGAGACAGAGTCTTTCATTGATTGAACCTGGAACCCAGCGCTTGACTAGTATGAATGCTAGCAAGCACCTGGGATGTTCTTCCCTGTGACTTCCAGTGCTGGGGTTACAGATGTATACCAGCACACAGAGGTTTTGAAGATGTGCCGAGGACCTGAAGTCAGGTACCTATGCTGGGTTGTGAAGGTTTACCTACTGAGACAGCTCCCAGCTTGTATTAGAGAATTTATTTGAAGAAAAAAATACCAAGTTCCCAATTCTATGAAGAGGAATGTCCAATCAGAGTGAGACTAAGGAATTTAAATATTTAAAAGTTCCACACGGGCTGGGTGTAGTGGTGTACTACCAGAACCGGGAAGGCAGAGGCCTGGTCTAGAGAGTGAGCTCTCAGTCAGTCAGGGATATATAGAAAGATCTCATCACACAAACAAAAATAGCTCTTTAGTTTCTTTTTTGTGTGATGGATTTCCATAACTCAATCTAAATCATTTGCTTACAAAGACTGGTTGGACATTTCTCCTCACAGTACTGAGTCATTCAAGGCAAGCTTAAGTCTTAAGGAGTCATTCAGGGATAATAATATATCCCTAAAAGAGGGGGAAGTAATATAAAACAACCCTACATGTCAAAGGTGATGACTCACACCCATACTTCTGGCACAGGGGAACACGGGCAAGAAGATCCCCACAAGTCTGAATTTCTAGGCTATCCATGGCAACGCATCAGAGCATACTTTACAAAAAAGCATCCGTAGATGTACATATGATGGTGCCGTCCTTTCTGAGTACCAATCTGAGCTGAGGTTAGATGGCTTAGTGCACAGCTGGACTCTGCCAGCTACTCGCCGGAACACTTGGGAAAGAGGTTGGATTTCCCTTAGACTGAATATATGACCGAATCTCTCTTTACTTCTCTCTCTGAAAAGGTCTATTGCAAAGTTCTTACACCACAGCATCCATAAAAAGTGGAAAGGATGCTGCATGGGAAGTGCTTGAAGCATATCCGACATATGTGTTTATGAACCACAGCTTTCTGTGTTACTCAGGCCTTTTATCAACCTGTGATGAGACTCATAAGGAACATGCGTGTCAAGAAACAAGACACCCATACGACTTAATCCAGAGACATGGAGTTCTGGATAGAAATAGGGGGGTTCTTAATTTAGTATGTCGTGTACGCAATTAAAAAAAAAGTCCCATTTCTGTGTCAGCTCCACAAACCTTGGAAAGAAAAACTAGCGCAAGCAGGCCACAGTTGCTGAGGACTCTAATAGCATTTGGTGTAGGCAGAGCCAGCACCATTTCTAATGACATTAGAAGCTGTACTGCCAGGCCCTCTCCAAGGAGACACCGTGGCCCATACCTGTCAGCTCCAGCTGCACTTGTGAGGCTGCGGAGAAGGTCGCATTCACCTTGCTGCTGGTTGCGTTGAACCAGTCTACAGTGAGAGTTGCGGGCTGCCTTTTTCCTAAATATTCGTAATATCCTTTCCATACCGAATTGATGAAAAACACATCAGAAGGAACTGTTGATAGAAGTGTGGACAGAGCAGAATTAAGACAGGCATTGGCGTGGAATCTGAACATTTTTAAAACACAGGAAGGCCTAAGACTGCCCAGTTAGGAAGCACTGTGAAGAACAGCGTAAAGCCAAGGGTGACCTTGAGAACTGTGTCCCAAGTGTGTGCCAAACAGCAAAGGAACAGAGACACCAAGGCTGTGGCTCTCACTGCTTCTTGAGAAGTTATTTATTAAGAACGGCTGTGCTGGATTTACTAGACATGCCAGGTACAGAGGGTTCAGTGAACTGATTGTGTTAGCTTTAGCCAGTAGGAAATGTGCTCTACTGACCCCGACTGCTACTGCTAAACCTCCGTCTTCCAGATTTATTCTCTGACAGCCATGGAAAATCTGGAGGAAACGACACTAACAGTCTGTCTGGGCCCCACTCCCAACAAATCGGCACTTTCCAGTCCTTGATGGCTCCTGCCTTGAGAAGTCAAGAGGCATACCCCCAGCTAGTATTCTATGCTAATTTCTATGGGGAAAAAATAGTCTAGTGTTAATGTGAAAGGCAGACAGGGCAATCTCATCTGTCACTTTTATATATGTTGCTTAAATATGGACATAAAAGAGACAGGGAGTCTTTGTAACGTAAAATTCCTCTGTGACAAGAATTTGCATAAAGGTAATTGGGTTATTCCTTTAGTTTTCAGTGTTTATTACAGGTATCAAGTTTGTCTTTTATGTCTCCCTGGCAATAGTCATATATAAATTCCTGTTCTCCTGACCATATCAATATAAACAGACAGAACGACACATTGTAAATACCCACCAACATTAGCACCGTGAGTCCCAGTGATTTCCACCTGAAAACATGCCTTTATCATTTAATTAGTCAAAATCGGCTGAGGATAGCATGGGCCTCAACAATGTTGGCATTGTTGGGAGAAATACTTAGCTCTCTGTAAATGTATAGCCCTTAGCAAACCTAATGATGTGATGGATGATGACATCACAGGCATGCAACCCCTACATCCATACTTCCCTTCCACTCCAACCGACCACCTTCCCATCTCCCTAGACCAGCCAAGCCTACAAAAACCAGACTAGCAAAGTAATCATTATGGAAAAATCCAGTCTGATAGCCGCCTATGGGTTGGCTATGCCCAAATTACTAATAAAGATAAGAATGGATTAAAGTTAAATTAGTAAAAAGCTGGTGTGTCAACCAAGTATTGAAGATATTTATAAATAACCAACATTGAAGATTTCTAATTATAAACAGACGTAACAGAGACTTTCATTTTAAGAAACCCACAAAGTACCTTACTTTACGTTACAACAGCCCCTAGTGTGACCATTTACCCATTAGAATTTACATGGTCTGCTGAAGATGTTGTTTGTATATGGTCCAACTACTGCCCTGAGCCACCACTGTGGGTCCATTGCTATAACAGGCCAGCCGGGCTGTGTAGAATTATGGGGAACCTACAGCTTAGATACTATCTCAATCTCTAAGCTGAGGTGTGATCATCGGTCAGGGAGGAGATGCTTTTAGCTGGGGGTCCTTTCCACTTTACTCTCTTACTTAGAGTCACGGGCAAGAGCAAGGCAAGGATTAGATTTATAATATACCATCCTGACCAACACCATTTTCATTAGCATTTCCCTTTAGAGGAAATGACATACTGATGCTAATGTGTGTGCCCACAAAGGCGTTTATAGCTATTCCAACATCTGGAACAACACAAAGTTGGCAAGCAAAAGTGAGGATGAAAATCTACAATAACAGAAGCATATTCTGCTTAGTTCCCCAGGGTAGATGCTGCCTGGCAAAGTGTTGACTTTGTCATCGATTTATAAGTTGTATTTAAATAAGATCACTCAAAAACTCAAAGCACATTTTTCCTCCTCATGTATAGACCGAGAAAAGTCCCCTGATCCCACTGGTACTTCCTTTCTCATCAGAGAATTAAAGAGTAGGCAGAATTCGAACTATCAGCATTGCAAACAACCTTCCAGGTGGATTCTCGAATACCGTTTTATATCTGAGAAACTAGGGCTAAAAGCTGAGTAAAAAAAAAAAAAATACTTGGCAAGTCGTCTTGTATTTTTACAAAGCTTTACTATTTTTGGTTAAAAGCAAAGTCAATCATGGCTTAAAACAAAACTGGTGGCTACGTTTTGTTCATTCAGTGCACGTTTGTTTCCCACATAGATCCACTATGCAGATGGTTTCCAGCTGGGGCACCTTTTCCCCGGGGAACAGCGTGGCATCTATTCGATTCTCCACATGACACATTATCAAGGGGCCATATCTGATGGCGGGCTGAAACCTTCATTCCAGAAGACAGAGGATGCCTGAGCTATGGAGATACTGGAAAAATAGGACTCCGCATTGGAACCGCTCAGATGGTAACTTTTGAAGTTGTCAACCGCCTCGCGCGTGCTATTTCCCTCGAGGAAGGGGACTGCAACCCTATTTATAAGGCTCTCCATCATACCACATGTGGGGCCAAAGTGCCCAGTGTGTCTTCCAATGAAGTCCTGGGACCACACCATGTATGATGACATTACGTGGTGACATTCCACTAACGAGCCACTCGGGTGGAAGAAATAGAGATGTGTGCAGGCGTGGTGCTTAATGGGGGACCGACAGATTCAGAAATGTAAATGCTAAAAATCGTCTCACTGTGCAGGGCTGAGAACAAATCAGTTTGGTTGAAAGCTAGAGCTCTTCTGGAATACGAACCTGGAGTTTTAGTAACTGTTTCATTAACTTCTCTCACTCCTTTACCTACAAGTAAAAAGACAAATTATCATTTTCAAAAACATTTATTTTTTGGAATTAGGTTGAAAAAGAAATTGTCAATTTGAAGCGATTCTCCTTCCTCTGGATCTATAAAAAGGTACAAAATATAAATATTGTATGCGCAAACACTTTCGACCCGGGTATTCGCAGTAGATCCTCCTTGTGCGTGTGGAAATACTGAGCTCAGTGGTGAGGCCCGTTTCTGTCCATCTAGCTTGGAGGTGGGCCCTAAAGGTGCTACAATAGAGAGCCTTGCAAATGAGGGTGGCCGAGGGTGAGCTCCTGACAGTCTGAGTGGACACTGCTGCCACCAGCAGGAATGATCCCAAGAGAGGAAAATATCACAGTCCCTCATTATCCAATCCCCCTACATCTGTGGACTTATAGGACAATGTTGCAGAATGTCAGCTTCCTTACCCCATACACCGTGGAGTTTGGTCAAAGCGAGATTTCTAAGGGCTCAGCTCTTTTCCTAAGATGCAAACTATTTTATTACTCTTTTTTCTCTTCTACTTATGAAAAGAAATGAGACTCTGACTTGAAAACTGTGAGCATGTGGGCTCCAGGGAATTTAGGCTGAAGTTGGGGTGCCTTGGTACTCTGAGGTATCTGCACCTATTGCCCAGTGACTGTCACATAGGGTGCCCCAGATCAGATGCCAGTGGCCTTTCTCATCAGATCCGACTCAGACCTGGTCCTCCCCTCAGTAAACACATGCGTGGCTTGTAAGCCATTAAAGGCACTCTTTCCATGCTGATTGAAAGTTTGCAGTAGAACCAATATCAGTAAAAGAAAAATTGCCGCTTCTCCACCCAATGGCGTGTGATCCTAAAAACAGCACCACTTATTTTATATATGCTCAGATTGCAGGTGTCACTTATTGGCTCTTTTCATTGTAAAGATATGCCATTCTCTGACGTCATAGTGCAAATGGTTCTTTGAACTCAGAATGCTTCCTTTCAGCCAAACAGCTGTCCTCTGTGGTCTAAATTTCAGTTAATAATGAAGTCTATACATCCATTCTGTCTTGCTCCTGGTGTTAGACACTTACTCTGCACACATCCAAGCACACAGAGCCCAGGCATTGTCTGTGGGGCACTGATGCTCCATCACAATGTCACATGAGGGTCCCCTGACCTGCACACTAGCCTGACCACAGGGGCAGCGCTTCCTGGCTTTTTAGAAGTACGTTTGCACACCTCAGCCAGGGACTTACTTTTACAGACCGGTGACTTCCCTGTCCATTTCATATCGGCCTTGCACGTCCTGTGTTCAGATCCACCAGCAAGGAAAAATCCCGGATGGCAGGTGTAGACTAAAGTGTAGCCAAAAGCTGGAAGATCGATGGCTCTCACATCTGCGTGGGCTGGGGTTTCTGGCTGCCGGCAGGCATGGGCTGAAAAGGCATTTACTCCGTTAAAAAACTTTGGGACTGTTCATTGTTAAACTGTTACATTACATGGGCCCATAGGAACTAACAGAGGAAGATTCTACAAAGGATTATCTACATAGGGATTGTATACCTGAGAAATGTGTGTGTGTGTATACACACAAGCATACATACACACACACATATATGCATACATAGATACACAAACACATGTAAGAATAGTTATGTATATAAATTTAGAGGAGAGATCCTAGCTTCATTAAAAACGGAATACTCTGGTATAATACAAGAGAAATAATATGTTAAAAATCCTTAGTGTGGGGTTGGAGCGATGGCTTGCTGTTTAGGAGCCCTTCTTGTCGAGTTTGGCTCCCGGTACCCATGTCAGGTGGCTCACACCCTCCTAGTACATCAGTTCCAGGGGTCCTTCTGGCCTCTGTGCACACTGGCATACATGTAGGCAGGCACAAATAAAAAATGAAAGTAAATCTTTAAAAATCAATAATAACCACTCCAATAAGCTAATGTATCTGGACCAGTACATGCTCAGACATATACCTGGATTCTCGTCAGGTGTCATCAAATATATTTATTGCTTAACTAAATGGGTGTTAAATTTTAATGTGTTTTAGAAATTTAGTCATAATTATAAGCTATATAAGTCACAATTATAAGTTCTTACTTCTTCTAAAAATGTAATTTAGGAACAAATAAAGTTGGAATACTCATGTCCTACCATAAGTAACCTCATTTTATAAAACCCACACATGTCTGTAAGTAAAGGACTTGCAAGATGGTTACAAAGCAAACCTCTAATTTTATAGTTGTGAATTCAGTTGCTTTAAGTACTGTCAGTAGCTCATATTCGGGCACATTTTCCATCTTTATTCCTGTATTATAACACGCTTCATAACACACACACACACACATCTGAGTGTGCGGTGCACGACTGCACACTTGTATATCTAGCTTCTCCACATGGTTGAGTAGTGAGGTAGATGTGTCAGCTTTGAAACAAGTGCGCACCTGATCATCCTGACCAGTAAATCTCCAGTAAATTCCACCTTACCCGCCATTACAGTAACTTTGCACAGCCTTCAGCTAATGCTTTTATGCTCGGCATCACAAGGCAGGGGGTTGCCTAAGAGAAGTGGTGGGTGACGTGAATCGTTCGGTCCACATCCCACAGCACTTTCTCATTCTCGTGACCGAATCACAAAGCAAAAATTCAATCCATCCATCACTGCTGTGGTGATCCATCACGTCCAAGGGTCTATAGCCACAGCGCCACACTGAGCGCATATACTGAGTCCCTGGCTCATTCCCTGATCCAGAAAATGGCGTGCAGACACACGGAAGGACATCCTGCACTCAGGGATCTTCTGCCAAGCAGGGCTGACGTGGAAGTCACTCTGTGTCTTGGGTTTCTGGCGTTTGCCTCACATCTCCTGGGAACCTAGTTTCTGTCACCTACTACCTCATCCTGCCTCCCCAAGACTTTCTGACGCGGCAGAGCTTGGGGTTAAAGCCCCTCATTACAACCAAGTCCTTAGCCTGGTTGGTTTGACTGGTCGAGGAACCTTAGGAGCATTTTGAGAAATGCACAAAATGAGAATTAGGGAATGAAAAATAAATAAACCCATTGCTCTTCACAGGTTCTCAGGAAACTGTGAGCTCTTTTGGAGACACTTAGCAATGCCCTTTGTAGCCGCAGAGGGAGAATCCGGACTTACGTATGCATTCTGTCTGGATCCCACTCCATGTGAGGTTTGCAAGGCAGGTCCGTGTGGTGGAGCCTTGGATGTGGTAGCCCTTCCTGCATCTGAAGAACACGGTGCTTCCAACCTGAGGAGAAAATCAACAGGGCTGCAGACGAAGGCCAGCACCCCAGAACCAAGGGAGGTGTACCAGGGACCGATGGTGCTGCACCTCTGGAGGGACCAGCACACCACTTCTGCATGCATGGCAGAACATCACACTCAAAACAGACAACTTGCTGAGTCCTGGTGGTGGTGGCGGCGGGGTGTTAAAGAAGAGGGAACTAGATCTGACAATCAATGTGCTTGTTTATGTGGGTCAACAGAGTCTGCTTTAGCATGGTAACAAATGCCTGTCATTCAGGAGGCTGAGATTTGAGGATTGCAAGTTCAAGGCCAGCCTGGACTACATAGTGAGTTCCAGGTTAGCATGGGCTGTAAATTGGAACCTTGTCTCAAACAAATGCAGACGTCTGCATTTCAGAAGTCCCCCTCTTCCATTTACACCTATTGGTTTATTTTCCCTCCTCTTGCTCCCTATATCTGAAACCCCACAGACAGCTCCTCAGGGGGACTGCTTCCTTTGAAGGCTCTGGATGCTGGCCACCTGCTGTGCTCTCCTGGGACCCATCACACCTCAGTGTGTCAAGATCTGTGAACCATGTCAGTTACCTGAACATCTTTCCCATATGACACCTTCACTTGCGCCTCATCTCTCTGTCTCCCTCCACCCAGGAGCCCTGCTGTTCTCAGGCCTTGCCCTGAGCCAGAGTCAGTGCTATAGCTCCCTCCATATTCGTTCTCCTGTTCCCACCTAACCAGTGGCGATTTCTAGAAAGCCAGATTTCTTTTAGACAATGACCTATGGTTGTGCTTTGGGTACATCCAGCCTGCATCATTCCCACACTTGAAACATAACCACAGGCAAGGTAGAGGAAAGAAACGGCTATCACGAGAGAGCTGTCTGCTGAGGGGCAGCTCTGCTGGGGGCTCGCCGTATCCACGGCATTCCTTTTGCACCAAGCAAGAGTCCAAAGAATTCAAAAATCCGTCTTCACACAGCTCTGGGGTTTTAAACTGTTCTTTGTCTTCTTGTGAGTACTAGACTACACTATTCCTTGCTCCACCTCCACCTCCATTGGGGGATTTTGGAAAAACTATAATTAAAAACATGAGAACCCAGCTAACACGTTGGATGAGAGACGTGCTGGGGGGGGGGTCATGTGATCAAGTAGCAGCGAGGATTTATATATAATCCATGAGAAAGAATTCGCCTAAAGATCTAATCAGGAACTGGTACCAATTGGAGAGAAATAACAACCTGCTCCCTTTCCGGCAGGGATGGTTCTTATCACATATGACCCCTCAGGCTTCCTGGGACACACTGATGGGATGCACCAATAGGAAGAGGAAGAGAGCTCTGCCATTTCCTGTTCAGGGAAGCAGCTTTAGTCTGTTATGCCAACCCACGGGACGAGACTGTGTACCTGACCTGTCCCGTGACTCTATGGGACAGGGCTGACCAGACAGCTGACAAGGAGCTAATGCTCAACTTCTGCAATTAGCCTAATGCAGATGGAGCATTCCAGAACTTAAGAGGCTCCTTCCTGGAGGTGTTTCAACACATAACTCAAGAAAAAAATATATCTGGTTCTAATGAAGAAGCAAACTCTGAGGCTGGCTACATCTCCCAGTTCCAGCCTCAGCTTTAAAACGCCATGTCTGTGTCTTAAACAATAATGAGTCACGTTGTTGGGAGCTGTCTCTTGTTAATTCCCTTTGAAGGGGTGAGGCATTTCTCCATCTTGTTCAGCTTCTTGGGGAAGGTGGTTACTTTACCATCTCTCTGACTCTATGCTGTGCCCGGGTAGGCTAAGAAGTTCTGAAATCCGTGGTGACCAATAGTAATCATTTTCCAAGGTGAGCCAATGAGAGCAACACCCATTTATTTTCCAAATGACCAGAAATTTGGAACTGAACATTTACCTGTCAGAAGGCATTTAACTGAAGCCTGAGGCCATGCCTGGACCATAATACACAATGCGTTGAATTCAACCCATCTACTGTGAGAATTATTCTGGGGGACTCCAAAGGGATGTGACAGAATAGCAAGGGAAGATGGATAGAGCCAGTAAAAATAGAAACACTCCAGTGCTCCTGAGAGATAGGATGAAGTGGCTGAGGGAAAAGACTTTTACTCTAGACTGGTGGGGCTATTAACTTGAAAAGAGCAAACACATCTAACTCTGGGCGTCTGAGTCATGTCACAGACAGCCAGGTGTCTGTCACTTGGGAGAAATCACACGAAGGATAGCCGGTGCTTGCCATATCAAAGGCATCATCTTCTGTTTGAAGTATTTCTCCATTAATCGTAGCAATGATGTAGAGCATATTAAAGGCAAAAGAACATTTCAAAGCGATGCTCATGTGCCAACAATCGAAGCTACTTTACAAGATCATCAGGAGAACGGATATCATGGCGAAGCTTGATATGGAACACATGTTGTATTCTGGTTTTGCTTTTCTTTCTGAAAATGTGTATCACTTTCTAGTGGCGTTTTTATTTTAATGTCTCCGTACATTCTGACTTGGTAATTGTCCTTTATGTCACTAAACCAAAAGTAGAGAGTCATGTGTGCCTCTCAATGAAAATTAATATAGCTGTTGGCACAGTGCTAATGGATTGGTGAATTGGCTTCTGCTTAGAAGTCCTGGTTGAAAGAATCTTCTGTGCAAAAATGTAATACGCATATGCTAAGGAATACAGCAATGTACACATGTGATTGCTATCAACTAGGTGTCACGCCTCTAGGGCACAGAAAATGGAAGGGAAGTACCTCATATCCTTTAGAGCTATTCTGGATTCCAAAGTGGGGAGTGCCAGGGTCTGGGCAAGCGGTGTGGGCTGGATCTGCAATTCACAATTAAAAATAAATTGTAACACCTTTATTGAAAGAGCTTGCAAAATTAGACAATGCTTTCAAAATGCATATGATATTTTATATGACCTGTTAAAGAAAGTGGCTGCCTCCATTTCCTTGGATATCTTTGATTCTTTATCAGTTTTAAAGTAGATTTGCATATTCAAACCTAATCTGCGTCTTCACTTCTAATCTGCATATTTGCATTTGTTTGCGAATAGGTTGTTCTTCCTCACTCTCTGGCTAGGTCCCTCTGCTGATAGAAACTGTTGCTGAATATTAAGATCTATCCAATCATTTTCTACTCTGATCTGGTTTGAACAGATTCGCTATTGCAGTTGCTCATCCATATTAGTCCCTCTTTCTTTTCTTTCTTTCTTTCTTTCTTTCTTTCTTTCTTTCTTTCTTTCTTTCTTTCTTTCCTCCTTCCTTCCTTCCTTCCTTCCTTCCTTTATCATTTTCTAAAGTTTTCAAGGTGAGAATCATATATAATATTCCAGTGGAGGCTTCTGGTAATATATCAGGGGCATTGTTCTTATGTGTGGGACACACACAGACACGTGGGTACATTGTTGCTGTTCCCAGCTGTCCAGAATAACATCGACAGGGCCTTAAAAGTGTTCTCCTAGGTCTCCTGAGACGTCTAGGAGACACTGCTAATCCAAAGTAGTCTGACATGCAGCACTTAAAACCAAATAGTAGGAGTTAAATCCTGGAGTCAGATGGAAAACCGTCAACGAAATTATTTCTAATACTGCCTTTAGTTTTAGATATAAGCAATTTGATTTCCGAGAACAGAGCTGAGGCGAAAGTTCATAATTCCTGTACTGTAAATTTGCACAAGAATCGTGATGAACAGTCTCTTCGCTGTGGGGATGGTTGCTAGGGGACGGTAATAATTGCATCATCCAGAAGACCCCTGCCCTGGTGACAAAGCTGTGAGCCCTGGCTGGAGATGGAGGTGCTCGGGTGGGAAAGAGTCCATCAGGTTTCTCAATCAGTTTACATAGCCTGAAGGAGGCTGACCTTCCCTTAACTGTGTTGATCATACTCATTCTGACTAGGTCCTTGTGCGGGCTACCATCTAAGACGCAGCTACCAATGAGCCTGCGGGACTGTAGCTGCAGCAGCCCCCAGTCGTCCCTGCGCCTGCAGCTGTGCCAGCGCATTACCTATACAAGTGGGCTGGACTCCGCTCCACGTTCCGTCAGCCTGGCAGGTTCTCCTGGAGGAACCCACCAATACGAACGGGGGTTTGCACTGGATGAAAACCTCAGACTTAAAGGTGAAGCTTTTCCCGCTGAGCCGCCCCTCTGCCGGAGTGCCAGGATCGCCACAGAACACAGCTGGGGAAAGAAACAGGCCATGTCAGCACTCAGCACGCCTGGACCAGGCTAGCCCGTTAAACCTGTTTAGAACCTAGGGTGGCTGCAGAGTCTGCCACTAAGTCAGCTAACTCCTAAGGAGAAGGCACTGTGACGGCTAATGTTATGGTGATGGCCAATTTTATGTTTAAAAGTTTAAAGTCTCTGTACCTAAGAGAAATATAAAGCAAAATCAGACCTCCAACTGTTCAGGGCTGTTAAGGGTTAAATTTTTTTATGGCCATTTCTGCTTCTGTCAACAGCCCTGCTTTGCTTTGCCGGAGATGACCTTCTGCTTGCTAGAACGAATTTGAACTGTATTCTTTGCCTTTATAAATCCCTGACTGAGGTGGCTGGGTGCTGTGTTTAGGAATCCTGAGTCCCTGGCATGGAGACTTGGCACCAGCACCTGGACAGAAACCTCTTCTTTGTTATAATTTATTAATGGCCAGACAGGTGGATCTCTGAGCCACCTCAGACCCATAATAGCACCTGCCTTTGGCCGCACATGCTCAAGTCTCAAGCTCACTCAATGTGACCACAATCACACACACTGCTGGAGGTACCTACCCCCCGCCCCCACCCCGAGTGTCTGTGATCACAGAATACACTCTACCCTCGGACTTACGCAAGCACTGAGGGACTTCTCCTTTCCACACGCCATGCCCTTCACAGGACAGGATGGCCGAGTGGGAGAGCTGGTAGCCATCCACACAGCCGTAGCTTATGCTGGCACCCCAGCGGAAGTCTGATCCCTCCACCTTCCCATTTGACACCAGAGGAGGCTGACTGCATAGGACAGCTGTTGCCAAGAAAATAAACAGATCAAATACTGTCTGATGACAGTACCAGCAGGGCTATTGATGTCCTCCCCTCCAACCCCCTCCCCACCACACACACCATATCCCTCACGGTGGTTCTTATGGCTCTAAGCACAGCTTGTGCCATTACACCCATCCTAGAGCTTGCCATAGACCGTACCACCTAGCACACTTTATCCTCCACCACCACATCTCCCAGAGTGGCTCCTGTCAGCGCTCCTGTTACTAATGCTTTTTTAAAAAGAAAGAATTACTGACAGAAACAGTAACAACATGAGGGGTTTTCTCCGTTATTTCTTCCCTAGCTCAGACCAAACATGTAAAAGTAACCATGAAGTCAAACCACAAAGCACTGAAACAGTATTGCATCCCCTGTGCTGGTCACGCACATGGCCAAAGGGAAAAAGAATTCTATGTCATTTTACTCCCGATTTTAAGAACAAACCTAAGGAGGGCTTAGTCACGTAACATCAGTGAAGCTTTCAAATTTATGTTGGAGTTGGCAAGACTTTCTCTTGACATCTATAATTTTATTTATTTAAAGATAGCATATAATTTACCTAAAGACACTCATGCACTTATGAACAGTAATTCTCTAAAGATTTTAATTACATGTATTTTTGTGTGCATATGTGCATGCGAATGCAGGTGCCTGTGGAGACCAGAAATGATAGATACTTTGGAGCTGGAGTTACAGGTAATTCTAAGTACCCAGCATGGGTGCTGGAAACCAAACTTGGCTCCTCTGACAGGGCGATGCACTTTCTCAGCCACTGAACCATCTCCCCAGACACCCTGAATAACTTTTAAAGAGCTAATTCATACATGTCTGAACACAGTTCTGTGAAGTGAGACTTGCTAGAGTTTCATTTGAGTTTGGGGGTTCAGTACTCACTTTCTGGGACACTGCAAAGACAAAGCAAGAGGTGATGGCTCGTAGGTCCATCTGTCGCACTCCAGAGGTTATTATAAAATGGGAAAATTCCCCAAGCAACATGTGAACATCCCCTTTGAAGATGAGAAGCTTCCTGACTCGGGAATCAATGGCACTCTGGGTGGCAGAAGGCAGCAGGGAAGGACATGTTTGCGAGTCTACATACTCACCCATGCCGGGTCTTGGGGGAAGCACTTGTGGGGCACAGCTGCCAACATGTGTACCTAGCAGGGGGAAGTGTGCCCTGGCTCTGACACTCAGCCCTCTGCCCATTTAGTCATTTGCTTAGTGAACGCTTCTTGAGAATTTCTCAGAGCTGGTGACGGAGGGAGAACCTGTATTTGTGGACCAGGCAGGGAAAGGTGGGAATAGGATGAACACCAGTGTTCATCACAGGATACATGGGAGTAGTGGGAAAAGGGCAAGAAGAGATGGAGTGGGAAGTGGGGGTATCAGGAGGACCCTGTGACTGACAATGAGTAGAATGGGTATTCCTAAAGGAACACAGTGTAGAGACGTACAGAGTCCAGCAGTCAGAGGGATTAATTCACCACTTCCCACTGGTGAAGCCTTGACCCAGACATGTCCAACATAGCTGGAATGTATCATTACACATTCATCGGTACCGGTTACAAAGCAAACATGATGTTGGATCACTAATGATATAAAAAACAAAGAAGAGCGTGAAACCCTTAGACACATCAGGAAGAACAAGGGTGACCCAATAGCATGTCCTGTCGGGGGTGGAGGAACAAGAGCTGTGGGAGTCAAGGCATCAAATTCATAAGCTCAAGTGTCCCTCTGAGATCCAGACGACAGCGCCTTTCCCTAGACCTTCTCAGCGCCCCAGCTCCCACTCTTATGCCCTTGTTCCCAATCAGATAAGGAAAATGCCCTGTGTGTATGCATGGCCACCATAGCATCCTAGCCTCCGCCTTTCTTTCCCTTCATGTCCGATGCCAGATCAGTAAGAGGAGAACACAGTGGGATGCTTCATCTTTTGATTATGGGATTTCCTGACCATGTGGATCCCTGGTGTCCACAGGACTCTCACAGTCCAGCTTCCCTGTGAGCACACCAACCCTAGCCCATCTAGCCAGAGCCTACCTGATCGCTGAGTGTTAGGCTGTGTAAGCCACAAGCCTTCCTGACCCTTCTGAGTGTGTGTTCCTCTCCCCTTTTTACATCTGACTCCCTCTAGAACACCCATGTGCCGACCTTCCATCTGGATTCTGTTGTTGTCAGATGGCCAGCTGGTGTGCTCCTGCCTCAACATTTCTGAACTAGACTCACCACATGTCAACCACCTCTGTCCCATCAGCTTATTTATCAACAGTGCCTAAAGCTGCCAGACCCAAACACCTTCTAGGGCAGTGGTTTTACAACCCGTGGGTCAGGACCCCTTTGGGAACTGAATGTCCCTTTCACAGGGGCTGCCCAAGAAAACACAGATCTTACCATTACATTTAAAACAGTAGCAAAATTACAGTTATGAAGATGAAGTAGCAATGAAAATAATATTATGGCTGGGGGGGGCGTCACCACAGCATGAGGAACTGTGATAAAGGACCACAGTATTAGGGAGGTTGACAACCATTGTTCTAGAGGTAGGACAAGTTACAGGGACCTCACCTTCTCCACTCAGAGAGTTCTAATCTTAAGCCATTCACTGTAGCCCTTTCCATGACTCAGTTCCCCATCTCTAAAACTGTTACCAGTGAATCAGGAAAATAAAGGGAGTCCATATTTACATAGGCTGAGAAGAGTTCCTGGGACTCCTGGCTGCTGGGTGCTTCCTGAGCACAGAATGAAACGCAGCACTGCCCTGTACGGACTTCTAAACCCACAATGCCAGGTAAACGATGGCACTCACCTTTGCAGACGGGCCTGCTCTGATTCCACGTGCCATCTTTGGTGCAGCGGATGGTGGGTGATATTGGGGGCTCCATCAGGTAGCCGGGGTTGCACTGATAGCTCACGGTCTTGTTGAACGTGAAGTCGGTCCCAAACTGGATGCCGTTGGGCAGGGTGCCAGGATCCCCACAACTGATGACTAGAGGCAGGGAGCAGGAAAGAACCAGACAGGTGCAAATTATCGCGAGTGTCCTTCTGGGATGCAGCAGGGAACCACAGAGTGGTCCAGCCCTAGGGCACAGATTGCATCCACCTGCTGTCAAGAGGTTGTGTTTGACATTGGAAATTGCTGCTCTGTTGATAGGTGGCCGGGTGGTTGCCAGCCCTTGCTGTTCCTAATCAGGACACACCCATAGCTACAGACAAGAACGAAATAGCTTATTTCTTTTGAAACTGGGGGTGGTCTGGAGCCAAAGAAACCTTGCCTCTTTCTATGGTTCTTCCTTCATTGCACACCCTACTTGACCATTTAAATAGCTTCAGCTAGGTATGCCAAAGAAACAGAATCTAAAAGCAGCCAAGAAAACAGGGCATCACAATAAACTCACAGTAATCCTTTATCCTGAATGATTTTACAGAATCAATAGATACGGAAATTCCACTGTCTCCCTCATCTTATGGGCTTCCTGGACCTTCCCCCCCCCCCCCACGGCTCCACCTGAGCAGGTACTGACTTGTACAGTCCGGTGCTGTGCCCGTCCATGTCCCATTGGCTGTGCAGTGCCGAGTCATGAGCCCCGAGGTTTTGTAGCCTTCCCAGCAGGCGTAGATGACAGAGCTGGAGAAGAGGATCCCATCGCTGCTGAGGATCATCCCATTGGTGGGGGTGCCGGGGTTTCCACAGGATACGGCTGTCAGGAAGCAAAGACAGAGGCCCACAAAGGAGTAAGCCAGGACCGAAGCTTAGGACAAGGGAGACCAATGAGTATGAGTTCCTGATGGGAATAGGGGAACATCTGTGTGGGATAAACCCAGCCTTTGTCTTACTCGATCCTTCAGATTGATTTGTGATTAGCCACAAAAGTAAAAGCTGTATTTTCACATCTTTTCTGACAAAACATGGATTTTGAAACATTGAAAATCCAAAGCTTTGCCACACTAAGCTTGAACATACTTTTTAGCAATGTAGAATTATCATGAACTTTAAAAATATTATATGGTATTAGAGCTCAAAAACAACTTCCTTCATAACATTCTTCATTTGTTTAAAATCTGGAAAAATTAGGCCATATGTTATAACTGTAGCAGGGTTTCCTTGGGGAGCAGAGAATACCTCAGGAATGCAGATGACTGTGCCTATTAGAACATAGTCTCCCTCATGTTATCAAATCTACCCACGGCTGTACAGATGGTTGTCACATGATTTCACTTTGTGTTGTCCTCAAAAGTATCTTAATGTCCCCTACAGGCTCTGAGACCTTGGTTAATGATGCTCAATGTAACAGGGTAGGACCCTCTTTCACTGTGGGCACCCCAAGTCATCAAGCAGAGGAAATACCTTCTCTTCTGGGGACAGATCACAGTGATGGCCTCAATGTTGAGTATTTTGTTCTTTGTATTTGAGACCACTAACGGAATAATTATTGTATTTTCACCTCAGGTCTGTCACAATGATGTGTAGGAGAAGACCATAAATCATGAGACTATTACTAGATAATAATAAGAAGTCTACAGCATGAGATTCTCTGAGAGTGGTCAGCATGTTTGAAAACACTCTTGCATATTTAACTGTTCCACTTTCAAAGCTACTTGAGAACAAAGATGCATATCTCCTTAAATAGGAAGAAAGTCAATTCTTACTTCATACAGAATATGCATAGAACTTCAAGTTGAGCTGGTTCTTGTTTACAAAACAAATATAAAGCACACATATCCGTACTTCTCTGCCTATGCCCATGGCAGGCATAACTAATCAATAATAACCCACTTCTACAATGAACATGATTCTGAACCTATATCTCTACCTAAGTCAGATCCTTCAACAATATCCTGCTTGATAGTTGTGTTAAACAGTATTTATCAATTTACCCATGGTTCCCTAAAACATGAATTAAAATTTCAAAGTGAAAAAGCAACAGTGTTGGACTAGCCAGAACAACTACTCATTCAATGCACATTTGTTTAGCAGTCAGACTATCATAGCCACTAATAGACAGTCTTTAAAAAAAAAAAAAAGATCACATGTCATTCAAACAAGAACCTAAGAATCAACAAAGGATCGTATTTGCTGAAAGTAGCCCATGTGAGCAATTTCCTAAGTCACCTCTGAAGGACAAAATTAATCAACTAATTGGGGAGAATCATTCCATTTATCTAAAAAGCAGATATATGTTAATGAGTTTCCACCATGATGATACTATCTGAACAACAAGACATTTCCCTTCAAATATTGAATTCTATAAAGTAAGGTTTATAATTAGATTTTTCTTCTTATCTATTTAACAGTGAGAAACACATTCACTGCCTGCCAGGCCAGGGAACTACAGAGAGAAGACAGCGACAACTTGTGTTTGCAGTGACTTGGATGACGTGTGACAGAGGAGAATGTGAACCTGAAAGCAATAGGTTCTATTTGTCCTTACTAAAAAGTAAAGATACTTTGCAAACTGAAAGGTACAACTTAACCGTATTTTATGTTCCCAGGTTTTATGCTTCATTTAAAATACATTTTCTACTTCTTATTTTATTCATGTGTTCTGTTTTGCTAAGACAGTTTTAAACGGACTTAATTTGCAGTAAGATCTAACTTAACTAATTCTAAACATTTGATTGTTTCATATCAACAGAACCCACCTAGAAGGTTACATCACACAGATGACAGTTGCACTGGACTGAATTTTGTGACTTTTTTTTTCTCAGTTAATTTATAAAGACAATGACTTCCAACTCTACATGTAACGTTAGTTACTGTGGAAATGACAGGCATGTTGTAGCTCAGGTTATCTCTCATCAATACCATACTTTTATTGCTTTAGTTGAATTTAGGGTTTATCAAAATTATGAGAAAGCGATAAAGATTTGCCCAATGAAACTGAAATCAAATGTGAAACAACTCCGTGAGTAAGGGCCTTGGAAGCCCTGTTAATGAGCCTGTGTTCAGAAGATAGATTACTAACCGAAGCCAGCATAATGTCAAAGAAATCTGCAGGCACGTACTACTAAAACACCCTAGGTATATACATCATTTGATCTCCATGAATGTTTAAAAAGCTTTTCTTCCTCTTTTTCATGACTTGTGAGTTCCTTTCACAGCTCGCTCCAGTTTCCCAAGGGGTTATAAAGTTTTTAGTAGATTAAAAAGAGGCAATTACATCAGGATAGAAGAGATAATCTTGGCTAGGGGACTGGTGCCTTGCTTAACACATCTAGAGATCCAGTCCCCAGTGGCGACCCTGCAAGCGCTTTTTCCAGTATTCTAAATTATATAGAAAAACAATTTATCCATACAAAAAATACACCAGCATAATCTTTTATGAGACCCAAAACTTGAGAAGTTGACTTACATGGGTATCTGTTAGTTAATGACATCTGCCTCATCCTGATGCTAATTTCTGAACTTTGACCACATCGTTATCAAACACATCTCAGTTCATATTTGCCTACGGCAGATTTTGCAGTCACCTGGTATTATAAAGGACTCATGATGTCCACAGTTGACCGTTGAACCATCCCTACCTCCTATGGAGGTCAGATATACTGACCCAAAACACCACACAGATTATAACTTTAGATTGTTTTGCAGCCACTGTGCACGAAGGCACCAGCAGAGTGGAACCAGTTGGAAATGATGGACTCCCCGCCCATAGAGATTCTGTCTTCTGATTGAGCTGCTTCTCCACATTGCCCCTCCGCCTCCGTTTACCTCCAAGATCCACATGAAAAAGGCATCGGATTAGAAACCCACTTTTGTGTGATAAACATTCCAAGGATAAGAACTAGAGGGATAGGTCCTTTCGACAGTCAGGAACATCTTTAGGGCTCACTCAGAGTCGTGGTGATGTTCTTGAAATTTTAGGGAAAAGGGTTCAAGGGTACAAGAGATCCAATCCTCTAGAGATTTCTCCAGATGCTCCCAGTCACTTTAGGATGAAGAGCCAGTGGTTGGGAGGACAGTAGGACCTGAATCACTCACCTTCACACACAGGCTGTACTCCTGACCAGGACCCGTTCACCAGGCACGTGCGCTCTGCAGAGCCCCGCAGCTGGTGTCCCATCTCACAGGAGAAGCGCAGAAGACTCTTTGTCTTATACTCATCCCCAAGGCGAGACCCGTGTGCAGGGGTCCCTGGATCACCACAGAATCCAGGACTGTTTCCTGAGGAGAATGAAGCACAGGGAATGAATGACTTGTTTCGATCCATTTGCTTTGTGTAAAGCTTCAAAAGCAATGAAAACTTTCTTAAGTATGCCTTTAACACAGGCCATGTTTTCCCCAGCACTGGGGCATCTGGGAAGAAATGTTTTCTTTGTCACACTTCCTAACATGGAAGAAACTTAAGACAATGTTTCTCTGTCACTAGATAAAAAATGGTTGGGAAGAGGTGAAATACTGAGATGCGATCATAGCAGCAATCTGGGACAGTGGGTGTGGGCAGCAAGAGAAATGGGGGCTCAGGAATACTAGTCACACAGGGACACCACTATTCTTCAGGGAAACATCTGGAGTTACTAAGTATTACAACTCACTTAAAGATCACCCACAGAAAAATTAAGATGTGAAAACGGGTGAGAGAGACCTACTGATACTAGAGGTAGAACTGTGGGAAAATAGAATAGAAGCCTATAATATCATTCAACCAAGATAAGCAAGAGATCCAGCACCATGATCAGAAACCCTTGCAGAAGGAAATGCAGAGATGGACCTGTAAGGATGGGGGAGATGCTATTGCTGATTCAATGACAGGAGCCAGGGATGGAGATGCTGAAGAAGATCATATGGATCTGTGATGTGGCTTAGTGATAGGGTGAGGTGTCATGTTGGTGGGTGATCTTGGTGGAGGGGACCAGTAATAATGGTGAGCATGATGCTGGTCATGACTTATGTGGTGTGACATAAGATATGATAAACTGATGGAGTTGATGATGGAGACCAGTGGTGATGGTGAAGGTGATGTGGATCTATGGGATAAGGACCAAAGGTTGGGGTGAAGATGTCAATGCTGGTATCCCCTATGGTGAGGACCAGAGATGATGGTAATTATCTACACTAGCAGCATGTTTTGCATCATTACACGTACGTGGGTAACTATCCAACGCTCTGAACACAGGGCTCCTCACCTGAGCAATGGGGAAGGGCTCCGCTCCAGTGACTATCTTCTTGGCAGACTCTTGTGCTGTTGCCTGTGAGCGTCTGGCCCCCTTTGCAGGAGTACTGGACGGTGGCTCCATACGTAAACAGATCTCCAGTGAGGACAGCATTAGCAGGGACCCCAGGATGCCCACATGATATAGCTGGGGATGAGATTAGAATAAATGAGGATATATGTTTTGCATAGTAAGGCTCCCTTTACAGTCCCCACCTTTTCCATTACCCATTAAGGAACAGGACCCCAAGTTTGTCCTCTATAGAAAAGAAATGGCCTTTTCCAGACAGCATTTACATACCTAGTTATTGAAAAAAGGAAAGATAGCGGTGATGCAATTTTTTTGACTTAAGAGAGCGTTGCCTAAAGTTGGAATTTATGCGCCACCCTTCAAGGAGAGAAAACAGCTGCCTCACGTTATCTATCTGGCGCTAATTGTATTCTGTGGGAGAAGAACGGAAATCTTTTTTCATGTGAAAACCCATACAATTCCTTCAGAACTATTCGCACAACTTCATCAGTTAACATGATAATCATACAGTTTGCTCCGAGATAAGATTAGATTAAATTTACCTAATTAAGCTCCTCTGTCTAGGACAAGCAGCCAAGTGAGCGTACTTTTAGTGGGTAGTGATCTAAAATGTGTAAAAATAACAAATGAGAAACTGACTTCCCTTCAACACAGCCTAGAAAATCATCTTGGTGGCTTCATTCATATCTTTAAAATTAGGCCAGACCGAGTCCATAATCTGTGGTAAACATCCTTCAAAAAGACGTGTTCCAGGACCCAGATGAATAGAGTACCAGGCACTGAAAACTCTCTCTCCGTTTCCTCGTGAATTACCTAACACGGGTGGGGACAGACACACTGAAACGCTTCACGTAGATGACTAGCTAGGTGGACGCTGCAAGGAACTTATTCAAAGGCATGGATTCAGTATCGAAGATGAACTCCTTTTGATCACTAGCAGCACAGCAGTGATGTGGACCAGAGAGGAGGGGCTGGAGTTGGAAGGCAGAACCCTCCCCTGGGTCCCATTAGCCCTCAGTATCTGTCTAGCTTTAGCCCTCATTCAAGTGCAGACCCACGTTTCATCTGGAGGCCTAAAAGGTAGCCAATTAGATCCAAAACACTGAAGTGTTGGGTAAATGGCCAATGCTGGCCGAAATAAGAGAACACAAGGAAAACAATCCAAGAAAGCAAGCTAAGGCAGCGTAGAGGTGAGGTTGAGCCTCCCTGGAGCAGGTCAAGTTCCCCTTTGAGATGCTCCTTCCCACCCTCTTGTTGTTAAGGACAAGGGGGACAAGGAGGGGTAGCGGTGGGGACCAACCAGCCAAGGGACAAGATGTTTGTTAAATACTAGGGCTTGCAGATCAAGCATCAGTAAAATGGCTGATAGGAATCTCCCAAGAGCAGAAGAGAACAAGGTCAAAAGGAAGAAACAAAGACAGCCAAGTTCCCTGAAAAATGCCCCAGCGTGGAACTGCAGACGTGCTGGACTGGGGAGAGACTGTGGCCCATTCATAGACTCACACTGAGTACTCAATACTCCCTTTCGTGGTGAAAAGAAACCACAGTGTCAGAGTCTACGGCTGTTTCTGTGTAGGGCTCAGGAGGAAAACTCCCTTGAAGTGGGGCGTGGGTGAAATGATCCCGTACCTATCCACCCTCAAAGCTCTGCAGCGGAAAGGGAGGAGGCACTTTGTAGCAAGGAAGCTCGTGTCCCAGTGCCACCTGACTCCTGCACATTACTATGAAGGTGGCATTTCATTTTGATTGGAAGGACTGCTGTGCTCCTGCCTGAGTTGAGAAGCCCAGACAGTGGTATTTTCTAAATGGATAGGTTAAATTTGGAAGATGATTCTTTCTGTGCTGAAGGACAGTTTTGTTTTGTTTACAAGGGGGAAATGTTGCACTATGGAGGCATGTATAGACAGATACATTCTCATTCATCTCCATCTTCTTAACCGAGAGGCAGCAAATTCTTTGGGACCTTGGTGACTGTTTAGGTCTTCATCTGTGCAGAAGGGCACCTCTGCCCTTCACAGAACTGTCCTTTCTGATGGCTCCTGTGAGGTTTGTCTAAAGTGTCTGCCAGCTAGGGCCACAGTTGGCCACACTGGAAGGACCATGGGAGCCAAATCCATTCTCTCCAGCAAGGTCTCCATCTACTTCAGAGTCCTTAACTGATATCTCTGTATCCGGAAATTCAGAGTGAGGTTGAGGGGTGAAGACACTGAGATTTATGGCCATCATGATGGAAGGTAATGTGGAAACCCAAAAATGTGAGCCTATTTCCACATTGTCTGAAGGTCAGGGAGTTTCACCTTGCTCAAACTTGTGGCCACTCCACCCTGACTGAAGGTCAGAGAGTTGGAACTTACTTCCATTCCTTCAAGGTTATTGTCTGTTTCTACCTCAAACAAAAGTCCCACCTAGATTTAGGTCAGAGAGTTCTGTTCTCTCAAGGTTATTGTCAACAGGTGTTGCTAATATCCAGACCTTGTACTTCAAGTATTGAGAAACAGATCTGTTTCTATCTCAAACAAAAGTACAAGAATCCAATTACGTTCCTACCCCCTTAAGGAGATAACAATGGTTTCCATCCAGGGAGTGGTTTGCCTACAGAATGTTTTGGTGTAGGGTGTGAGCATTACTTGTCTTGTTCTAGCAACAGAATGTTTAACTAAGAATGTAGCCCACAACCTTTAATTGGTCTGTTCATTTCCTTGTGTCACATTAATGCAGTTTTTTAAAAAAATCTTATTCCTACCTTTTGGTGGCACAGTATTTTAAGGTATTTTAATGGCAATTAACCAAAGGTATTTAAATGGCAATTAAACACAGGTGATTTCAGTATTCACTGGAACTCCCTCCTGGTACTATCCTGTGTTTCTGTTTTATTATTTTTCTCGCTGGTACTATCCTACGTTTCTGTTTTATTATTTTCCTTGCATCTTCATTCTCTTTACTTATTTTTCTAATTCCTATGATCCTACCCGGGTAAGTGGTATACTTGTCCAAGCTGGTCTTTGGCAAGGTAAAGAGTAAGCCAGTCTCACAGACTAAAGCAGGCAGAGGTAGAGGTGAGACATCCTTTTCTCCCGTCTCACACTCATTTAGGTTATATTTGGTGGTTTCTGGCTCACCCGTAGTAAGGATTGGCAGATACAGTGACAGGAGAGGAGAAAGAGTGAAAATTTCGTGTTTACAAGACACTGTGGAAATGCATTTCTATTGCGGCCGTTGCCTTTGGCCCTGTGGCTGAGAAGCCCACTCACCCAGACACTTGGGTAAGGAGCGATCCCACAAGCCGTTTGCCATACAGGTCAGGGCGGAAGACCCCAGCAGGTAGAACCCCTTCTTGCAGTGGTACATCACGCTCATCCCATATTCGAAGATCTCCGGGAAGGTCTGCTGCCCGTGGCGAACTGCGTTTTCCACAAACCCAGGATCCGAACAGTTTACCACTAGAAAATGAAGCATTTCATACAGATGAGGCTTTTATTCCCCAGCCATAAAGAAGAATAAAGCTACGTCCCCCGGAAGACAAAGGAGTCAATGGTAGATGACCACATTAAGCAAATGACATGAGTCTCTAAGGACAACTTTTTGTTTCCTCTTCTTTGCAGGCTGGAGATTTCATATGCATACATAAAATCATTTATGTGTATGTATATACATATATGTATATGTGTATAGGACAGGAAAATATGTATGACATTGTCCAGGGGACAAAGGGGAACAGAGGGTGGGGCTATAAAAGAAGAAACTTAGGGCATGAGGGAATATGCTCAACATACAATACATCGTTATGTGAAAATGCCCTATGTAAGCAGAATCTGATACAATGTATATACAATGAATTAAAAAAATAACTTCATAAATTACAACAGGAAACAAGCAAACAAAGAAGCAAAATCCTATGCCAAAGTGCAAAAGAAAGTAAGTTTTAAATCAATTAGATAGTTTATGAAGAGAAAGGTTGATCTGGGAATCTCCTCATGAACTTCTGATTCCCCTGTTGGTTTATTTTATTTTTATTTTTATTTTATTTTATTCTTTGTTATAAACATGCCGAGCATTAGATTGGCTACTATTACAGTTTTGAAGTTATGAGACCAATCTACTATTTCCTAAAAACATGCTTCTTCAATATATATTTTAAACTAATTTTCTTCCTAAGTTTTTACATTCTAAAAATGTGATGTAATGGCACTGGTTTGAATAGGTTTATTAGAATACAGTGTTTGAGATCTGGGACACGCTTGTTATTTAGCCACACCCAACCTATACATATTTATGTGTGCCCCTAAAGGAACAGTGCTGTCAATACACCGTGAAGGCAGCTGAAAATGGCAGTTCTCCCTTCAGCGCCTCACAGAAATGTAGGTTAGGCCACCTCTGATGGGAACCCTCTTGCCTCCGGAGGAGAGAGGAAAACATTCTCAGTGGTACAGGACACGCTCTGGTTATGCTGAATGGCTTCCATTAGCCCAAATGCCCATGGGCATCTTGGGAGGAATTAGCAGCAGGTGTCCTCAGGTGCAGACTAGCAAATGGTCTGATTACCTCGCACTTCCCCTACCATGCCAGTGAATGGGACAGCTGCCGTGGAGCAAGTACCCTCTCCAGATATGTCTGGCTCGGAAAAGAGCTGTGCACAGAATTCTCAGCAGCCACTGCCCACTGTGGATTCTGGAAGCTGAAAGCAAACCTATCTCAGTGGATGGGTTTGAAACACTTGTTGGAGGGCAGGTCCCGGCAGAGATGGGGTTCATCAAGACGCCTTGGCACTATGGAACAATGTTCTCTGAATTTCATGAAGCGCTTGAGTTTATGGATGAGAGCTTTGATTTCCCTGAGCTAAAGAAATGTCTATGGATCTGGGGAGGATGTGTGTGAAGGCCCCACAGTGCACTGTTTCTATAACCAAGATATAACCCAAGAGCTAACCTAGCGGGGATGACCTAGCTGGAGGCAATGAAATAAACCTGAAGGATGGTTTGCAAAAGCCGGAACAAACAACTGCACCCCGGGCCGATGCTTGGCATGGCAAGCCCAGATCAAGATAAAAACAAAACAGAACTAAAAACCTAATGGTCTCTTGAACAGAGAAGTACCACCTGCCCTGAGCCGACAAAGGGCACCTAGAGGAGCCTGTGATCCGTAGGGCACCCCCTGGCATACAGTGAGCTGACTCAGTTGAGTCTTCAGGGCCTGTGTTAGACAGGACACACTCTCAATGGGACTTGCGCTGATGTACAACAGTCTGGAACCCTGAGTTCTACACAGGCTGTGTGTGTGTGTGTGTGTGTGTGTGTGTGTGTCTGTGATGCATTAGCATTTTACTTTGTCTGTACCTCAGGGCACAATACTCCATCCCTAGAGATTTTTTTTTTTACCTCGGCAGGTAGGCAAGGGGCTGCTCCACTGGCCGTTGCTCCGACACTGGGCCCTGGAGGCACCCTGCAGCAGGTAGCCCGTGTGACAGGTGAAATTCACGAGGTCGTTCAGGTTGAACTCGCTGCCATTGGTGAGCCCATGGGCAGGATTTCCCGGGTGTCCACATGTGATGGCTGTGGGAGCAAGGTCTCTATTACTGACCACACTAAACAAGGTACCTCTCCTACCTGGAGTCACTGAGAACAAACGGGTAGACATGAAAATGTATGAACGGAAGGGTTTTCTACAAACATCGAGGGTGGTGTTCCGGTGTGGAAGAGCTGGGAGACAGAACAATGTACAGGATTTAGAGCCTTTTGTTTTGATGGTGGGCAATGATCTCTACCACCAGAACCCTTGCCCTTTACCCCAGGACTAGTGCCCTTGACGCAAACCAGCAGAATGCCAACTGACTTGGAACAAAGCAGCCAGACACAAGTTCTAATCTTTGGTTTATCAAGGAATTTGAGTATTTCCCACTTGGTACAACCAGCTGATGTCCTGGAACTGTCATTTAGAAACACTCTCGGGGTTTGTTTTCAACATCAAATTGCAAATTATTCTAGTAGTAAGTGAATCGTAGACTAAGAAAAGTAACTGTTCTCGTGCGATGCCTATGCTGTTATCTATGAAGTCTGATGAACTGCCCTGACGGTCGGGCTCTACCCAGCAGCCAGGAGCCAGGTAGTGTCTCTCACTCACACAAACTTTCAACGGAACATGGAACGGCCATAAACTGCCCTTTTCCTCCTCATTTATCTTGTCAGCATTCTTCTTCCTTCGAAATGGAGCTGGATTCTTATTCTGTATTTCCAGAGCCCTTTTAGAGACAGCACCCACTACAACTCAGTCCCATCTACACCTCTGCATCACTCATGAGAAAGTAAAGGCTCTCAGAAGCATGTGCTTGGCAGGATCTTGCACCGAGAAGGAGGAACATCTGTAAAGAGTTCGCATTTCAAGTCATGGGTTTTGAGAACAGGCCCAGCATGTAAACACTTGCTTTGAAGAGCTGCTGCAAATCTCGTTATTCATCCTGAAACCGAAGACCCAATACCGGAAAGCATAGGACAGTAAGGGACCTGTCCACACCCTTCTCTAATCAGCACTGTTTCTCACCCTGAACGGCCTATGGAGGAGCATAAGGCAGCAGTCCCAAGGTGACTCTTAGTTATTGATGAGAGAGTTGATGGAGTCTAGGGGATAATATAGAAAATGATGGACAGGGAAGCTGGGGCAGCCATCTTATACTTTGACTCGGGACAGAAAAAAGGGAAAGATAACTCCCCCTGCTGACTCAGAAGGTGGAACATGTTTGAGCAATGACTGGACTACACAGGGAAATGGGAAGATGCGGTCCTCAGGGCAGCTCCGCATACTCTACTCACGGACACAAACGGGGGTCTGCCCCGACCACTTGTGGTCCTGGAGGCAAATCCTCACAGAGGTGCCCACGAGCCGGAACCCGGGGTTGCACTGGTAGACCACTGTGTCCCTGTAGCTGAAGCCATCACCGCTGATATGGCCGTTCACAATGGGATCCGGAGAGCCACAATGACCCGCTGAGGACGGACACAAAACAATGGAAAACTCATCAGAGAATGTGCCAGCATGAGCCCACAGTATTCCCAATTCACTTACCTTCACTGTCAAGTCAATAACAGAGGTGAATGCATAACTGAGAATTTCCCCACTGACTATGTACGTTAGCCTACATTATTGTTCTTCTTTACTTGTTCATATTTTCTCAACCGTCGTGAGGAAGTCTTATTTCTTATATAAGATCATTTATAGCCATCACCCCAGTTATAGTTTCTCTGATTACTTATTCTATCACTTTCTTACTTCTATGGCATGTGATCTATCCTCCACTATTCCTAACCTAGTGGGCAGCAGAGGAAAGAAGGAAGAGGAACACACCCAACCCCAGAAATGGGTCTATGTAACTATTTATGAAATTCTAGAGGGAGAGGCAAAGATCAGAAAGCACCACAGAATGACCCGACACAAGGCAGCTTCAGTGTTGGAGATGATGGATATGGGACCATCATATCCCATCCAGAACCATGTACCAAAATTACAGCCATATCCTCAGAGAAGTCACTTGGATCCTGGCTATCACTCTAGATCAGTGGTTCTTAACCTGGGGGTTGCGAGCCCTCTGGGGTCGCATATCAGATATTTACATCACGATTCATAATCATAGCAAAATTACAGTTGTGAAGGCGCAACGAGATAATTGTATGGTTGGGGTTCACCACAACATGAGGGACTCTATTAAAGGGCTGCATCCTTAGGAAGGTTGGGAACCACTATTCTAGATAGCTCCAGATGTTTTGGGGGTCACTTCTGAAAGACACTGAGAACCAGGCATGGCTTGCTGAAGAGGGCCTCTCTAACAAAACCCACACAGCTTTAAGTGAGCACTTCTCATCCCTCTCAGCCAGACACACTTGATTGGACATACTCATTTTCAAACTCTGAGTATCTCTATCCAGTTTTTGGTTCATGCGTAGATTGAAGTGGCACATGCCTCTATGTCACATGGTTATGTACATATTCCTTAGGAGGCCGGGGACAAGGTGTACTATATTTGCATGGGAAATTTCCTGGGGAGTTGCACCGCTAACTTGGCCACCCTACTTTCTGAGAAAGTGGCTTAAACCCTTAAAGGAAATAGAGGATATACTTCAAAATCACTGCCCTTCAGCCCTGTGCCAAATGGAAGGAAGAAGCCACGGGATGCTGCGGTACTTTATGTTCCCAATCTGAATCAATGTAGACAAGGTGTCCTGGTTTCATTTCTGTCACTGGGATAAAGGCACCCCAACAGAGGGGAGCTCAGAGGAACAATGACTTATTTTAGTTCACAGTTCCAGCTCACAGCCACCACTGTAGGGCGTCTAAGTGGCCAGAACTGAAAAGAGCTGGTCACATCGTGTTCCCAGCCCAGAGCCGAGACGAGTGATGTGTGCATGGTTTTAGCCCTTCCTTTGATTTCTCCTCTCTCGTGTAGTCCCAAACCTAAGTCCAGAGAACACTGCTGTCCACAGTGGACTGAATCTTTACAGGTCATTTAACATAAACAAGACAATCCTTAATAGACATGCCCACAGGCAAACCTGATCTAGACAATCCTGCACCAAGATCTTCTTCCCGGGTGACTCCAGTTTGTGTTCAGTCGACAATTACTGTCATACAAGCTGATCCCCGATTTGAAACAGTCACTCATTTCTAGCTTCAGCAAGTTTGTCTCTTAAGTGAAATTTCAAGTCATAAAAGTATAGCCTACTCACATGTACAGGATACCCATAACAATTTCATTTATGGTATTTAATTTAAATGTCCATAATATGTCAAAATTGTGAGGAAGAAAAACTCCTTGGGTGAAACTTGAATTAGATGCATTCTGAGTTTTGGATTTAAGATTCCATTGTTTGGTGAGGTTTTGCTATGTTGTTTGACTGTGAGAGCTTTTTTTTTTTATTTTAAGTCTTTACTATAGTCTTGAATTTGAGTTGCAGGGAAAGGCAACTAGAAAGGGGTTCTCTGCCTCTTCTGATGTGAGACATTGCTCTTGAGGGTCATCTCAAGTCCTATTCATCTTCGAGGCCACATGTGGAAATAGATGCTTCACTATTCTCCAGTAATGGCTGTTCCATCCCTTGAATCCCCCAGCCTGTTCTATTGTCTTCTGTGCTGCTTTTGACTGATCTAATATAAACTGGTATAGTAGTTACTTTCCTATTGCTGTGCTGTAACACCATGACAGAAAGGCCACTTACAGAGGAGAGGGTTTATTTGGGCTTATGGTTTTAGAGGGAATACGAGTCTGGTATGTCATAAAATGTAGGCAGCAGTAGGCCAAGAGCTCACATCTTGAACCAAAAGCAGGACGCACAAAGAGCTCATTGGGAATGCTCTGAGTTTTCAGACTCTCAGAGCCTGCCTCCAGTGGCACACTTCCTCCAACAGGCCACGCCTTCCCCAGACAGAGCCACCCACCGGGGACCAAGTCTTCAGATGTCTGAATCTATGGTGGACGTTCTCATTCAAGCCGACACACCAGGGGGTGCCTCACCTCACACAGGTACGCTCTCGGGCTGAGAATGAAGAATCAGATATAGCACCAGAGACTGGCCACAGATGGACAGACAGATATGCAGAGCTGCTCATAGGGTGTGGGACATTACGTGTTGGGACATCTTAGAAGGGTGGGTCTCTCAAGTCACACAGAAAGGAACTATCGGACACAAGAGGTCATGTGCCACGTACAAACACTGCATACTTTATGTAAGTGACTTTATATTTTGGAACTTTGATTTTGTTATCTACAGAGATCCTGGAATCAAGTCCCCAGAGGGATAAGCAGGGGAAGGGCAGGGGAACATAAACCTCTGGATCTGGAGTGTGATGATTTGGAAATTTAAATAAAATAACTAAATTGTTTGCTGATTCCATGGAAACTCTGCCCTTGACTACACTATAAAGAATCTCCTCTTTGTGGAAGGGTAGAGCTGGTAGCCTTGTTGGAGAGAGGAATACTGCTAATGGAGGTGCAGAGGGGACCCCTCTGCTATGACTCATCTCCTCACTTCCCAGAGTCCTACCTGCCTTAAGGTCACCTGCCACTCCGCCATTTCCCTTCACTGTGAACACTCAACATTCCCGTGAGGATTAGACTGTAACCCTTTTTAGAAAATTTACAAACCAAATGTCCAACCTTAGTATTTGCCTTGTGATTATCAGTATTTGGGGCTGACAATGAGATAGTGAGTATTAAAAATATATCCTTTCTCTTTTGGGAGTCAGAAATGCAGGCGGCATGCCGTGATGTAATCTGTGTGGCGAGCGTCTTTGGGCTAAGCCAGGCTTATATGGACAGTGAACACCAGAGCCATTTCGCAGACCCTTCTTAAGTATTAACACGCAGTCACAAAATGTCAGGGGATCAGACTTGTGAAAGGCATGAAAGCTGCTGCTGGCATTAAACATCCATGGATATTTTTAAACCTGTGTGTCTGTCCGCATTAAAAGAACACTGTAGAATACTGATGTATGAGACTTTTTCACTTCTGTGTGCAATTTGCAAGGTAATGCTGAGGAGCTCTTCTGTGCCACACAAAGGCAATGGCTCTTGAGGACATGAAGCCCTGCTGAGGACAAGAGTTTGAGAAGCTATACTACACCCAGTGCCTCAGGTGGCAACATCCACTGAGGGGGCTAAGTCCTCGCAACACAATATTCTTTTGTCAGGTCTCAAGAAGTATGCATGGACAAAATCTGAGCATTGGTGTTAGATGGTTTTAAACTTTTCACTTTCCCTAAGACACCATGTGCACTTCCCAGAAATATGGTGGCATAGACACTTCATAGAGGGGAGGAGCAGTTCCTCTCGTCCAATAAAATCAATTTTTGCTGTCATGTCACACTGTCATTCTCAGCTACTTTATTAAACATTTTTACATGGACCTCTCAAAATCTGCAAGTTATTTAAAGAATACATTCCAATTTTATTCCTCTCAATCTTCAAAAAAGAAACCTCTAAAATAGAATTTTGGATTATGAGATCTAGCTATTTCAGCTCCTGTAAATGTCACCATCTAATAGTCACAACAAGCTTTGTGTCTTCATAGTCATTATGGCTGAACAAATGTAAACCTACCTCAAAGAGGTACAGGAAAGTAGATGTTTTTATGTGGAACCCCTTAAGAGAGGCATCTTTGACAGCGAGGATTAAAGAGGTAACCCAGTGGGAGAGCTGACAGGTCATTCTGTGCTAGAAAAATCTACATGTCATAAGTGTGTTATCAAGAGATTAATGAAGCGTTTTACAACAGGGGCCCTAGATTACAAACATACCACCTCCTTCTAGACGCTGTGTTCACTGCTGGGTTCAAGGGAAATTAGTACAAAGAAGATAAATACAAGAAAATAGTTAAGAGAACACTGTGATCATAAGACTTCCCTGATGGGTTACAGGACCTGATAGGGGAGACACGGGGTCTGTGTTGTCATGGCTTAATGCTCCAGCCTAGATGGATATTTAGCACTGCAGTTCACAGAAGGGAACATAAAGAATATCTTCAGTATTTTAGAGAATGCTAGAGCCCCTAACCACAGTGCAGAAGTGGGGTCCTACACAATGTGTTCTTGGAGCTAGTGTGAGGCTGTGCAGTGACTCACACATGCACACCTTCACCTTGAACTCATCTGCAAGGACACACACACACACACACACACACACACCAGCCTCACTCAGAAGTTCAGGCTCAGAACTCAGATTAGGTACTTCCATCAGGATCGAATTCTACTCTTGAGTGTGAGCCAAGAGAACTGCTTTTTATCTCCTTAAATATGGTTTTCATATGAAAAATTCCACAAGGCATGGTCAGTGATAGAACCATCCTTCCAAGTCCTGATTCATTTCTATCAATTCAATGACCAAAAATATTTTTTCCATGTAGACATCACCAGACACATCTATAGTACCAGAGGCAAGATCCCTCTTCCATCATAATCAGAAGGGCCATATTACAGCAAGATGTTCCTGTGGGTACTT